GCTATCTTGGGGCCTTTTGCGACCTCCTCAGAAGCGCGAAGAAGCGCTGACCCCTGAGAAGGACAAAATGAGGCCAACACCGTCGTAAAATCAATGATTCTGCTAAGAAGGAAGAGGAACGCGGCCCCCTCAGAAGGCCAAAATGGGGCCAAACCGTAGTAGAATCAATGTTTTTTACTTCAGCGACGCGTTCAGGCGCCAAACTCCCTCCCCCCCCTCGGGGCCAGAATCCTCGTGAGGGTCGTCGTTTTTTGGCTCTCCCAGGAGTCGAAAAAGACTCCCCTGACGACCCGCGGCCCGCCCTCTCCAGGCCCAGGGGGAGGGGGTAGGGGGAGGGGTAAACCCCTCCCCAAAGGGGAAGAAGGGGGGTTGAGGACAGAGAGAGCTCCCTAAACCACTCACGCCCAAAGGGCTGGTGGGATTAGCAGGTGGGGGGCAAGGAGCAGAACACAAGTGGTTGAACCAGACGGGCAGATTGGGTGGGCAGACCCATAGCGGGCAGGTCGGGAAGGCGGGCCCAGGCGACCAGATCGAGCAGGCGGGTTGCTGAAGCGTGAGTCCTGCACGAATCGCGAGGAAGTCTCGAGCGATAGCGCGATTCCCTAAATCGTGGGAAAAATCAAAGCGAGAGCGTGATTTCTGAGCGCTGAAGGCGCATCGTCTGAATACATTGCGAGGAAGTCCCACGCGAGAGCGCGATGCGTACATGACTTGTGAGGAATCCCGCGCGAAACCGCGATTTGGGAATTCATTTTCAGGACGTATCAGGCGGGAGCCGCTGTTGCTGTAAGCCGGGGGCCAGGGGCCTAGTTTGAGCCCCGTGACTTTCCAGTTTTTTTTTCTTTTTTTTTTTTTAAAAAAAAAAAAAGAAGAAAAAACAAAAACAAAAAAAAAGGAAAAAAAAGGGTGCGAGCCCCGGGGGAAGCACTTAAATTGAATGAGCACGGTGGTCACCAGAGGGGGGGGGGGAACAACAATACTTATTCTTCAGCAGTGAGAGCTCAACAACAGCAACAAACACGGCAACAGCAACAGCAACAACAACAGCAACCACCACAACAGCAGCAGCAACAACCATACCACCATCACCACCACCAACAACAACCACAGCAACACCAACACCAACAACACCAACCAGCACGCTCGCGTGCCAGCCATCACGTATATCCCAAACCTTCGAATCCCGCCCTCTTCGTCTCCGAACGTACCCCCTTCGGGGTACAACTTCCTTACCGCAGCCCCTGTGGCAGGTAAAGAGACGGATGGAAGGAAAGGACAAGGGGCAGGCGGGTGTCTGAAGCATGCGTCATGCATGGATCGCGAGGAAGTCTCGAGCGATAGCGCGATCCCGAAATATATCGTGAGGACATCTACAGCGAGAGCGTGATTCCTGAGTGTCGGGAACGCGGCGATTGAATACATTGAGAGGAAGTCCAACGCGAGGGCTCGATCCTTGTATAAAGTGTAAGGAAGTCCCGCGCGAGTGCGCGATTTGCATGCGCAGGCCCCGCGGCCCCCGGCGAACTCGCTTTGGCGCCCGCCACCGTCGCGCGATCCAGAGCGCGCCGCAGGACGCCTTTCGATAGCGCTGGCACTGCGTCGGCATCCTACAAATCCTCGAGTTGTAAAGTTGCCAAGTCTTGTGGCGCTGTCAGTCCATCGGCTGCCAAGTAATCGGTCGCGCCCTTGAACTGGATGTCAGTTCACTTCGCGCCCACAACAAGGTCATATTGCAGGAAAGCAAGCATCGCCATCTCGAGCCCAGCGCCACGGGGCGCACGCAAGATCCCCGCGCGACGGTGAGAGCTGCCCGGCGGTTGCAACCCGCGCGCCCACTCGCCAGCGCGTCGCGATGAAGAATGGAAGCCCCAGAGGGTGCGGTGGACACAGGGGGCCGCGCGGGGCCCTCTGAAAGTCGCAGTGGATGCTGCCCCGAGCCAATATGGGCCGCAGGGGTTCCAAGTAAGGGCGAGCCGCTCCTCCTCCTCCTCCTCCTGCTCCTCGTCCTCGTCCTCTTCTTCTTCGTCTTCCTAGTCCTCCTCCTCCTCGTCCTCCTCGTCCTCCTCCTCCTCCTCCTCCTCCTCGTCCTCCTCCTCCTCCTCCTCCTCCTCCTGTGTGCCATAATGGTTGGCGGGGGCGCGGGGACGCATGTAAATTGTAACACTGGGACCTTCGGTGGAGCTCCTTATGAGCCCACGAAGCGTGCGAGGGGTTTACCGACATAGGTGGCGGGGAAGCATGTACGTAAATTGTGCCACTGGGGCCCTTGATGGAGCTCCCTCCCAGAGGGCGCGCGTATAGAATTGCGTGCGTGTTCCATTGGGCACGTGCGGGACACGTCCCGCAAAACCCTTCGGTGAAACTCCCTATGGGGCCACGAGCCGCGTGAGAGGTGTGCCGTAATGGGTGGCGGGGAGGCATGTAAATTGTGCCACTGGGGCCTTCGGTGGAGCTCCCTATGGGGCCACGAACCCCGTGAGGGATGTGCCGCAACGGGTGGCGGGGACGCGTGTCAACTGTACCGCTGGGGCCTTTGGTGGAGCTCCCAATGGGGTCACGAAGTTTTGGAGGGGCGTGCCGTAATGGGTGGTGGGGGCGCGTGTAAATTGTACCGTTGGGGCCTTCGGTGGAGCTCCATATGGGGCCACGAAGCCTTGGAGGGGTGTGCCACATGGGTGGCGGGGGCGCGTGTAAACTGTGCCACTGGGGCCGTCGGTGGAGCTCCCTATGGGGCCACGTACCCGGTCCTGACAGCCCTGCACGACTACAGCGGGCACACAGAAGACCATGAAACGAGCCCCCCGCGAGCCACAGTAAGTACTTGGGACCCCAGTGAGTACATGGTCGCTGAAAACCCGAAGACATGTTGCCGTTATGGGCCAGGGGAGAGGCCCCATTGGGCACGTGGTCACTAAGGACCATCGGGATCACATGGTCATTCTGGACTATCGACCATAAGGGGTCAGTACGGGCCAGCGACAACACGTGGTCACGATGGACCAGAGAACGTGGGGGAGTGAACGCAGCAGGCCACTGTGGGCCAGAGCCCGCGGTCACTCAGAGGGCCACTATGGGCCACAGCACGTGGTCACTGTGGACCGACACGCGAGACACGGTGCTGGTCGCCATGGGCCGAGACACGAGGCACGGCACGGTATGTATACCCCGCCCCAGTACCAGGCGGAAGACACACGGCACGGCACCACGCCGAACAATTCGAGCGAGAGACGGAAGCGTGTCGGCCAGCGCGCGGCCGACCGGCCGAGCGAGGGCGCCCACGCGGCCAGCCGCGGGTTCGCTTCCAGCGCAGGCGGATTTTGTGCCAGACAATAACTCTGAGATTCCGACCCCAAGAAGACCCCCCCAGGCCCCACAGGCCGCTTTCACGACGCCTCCAAGACGCCGTCGAGAGACCCCCACGAGACATCAAAGACAGCGCAGGGGCGCATTGGGGGCAGGGGAGGAGGAGGCGATTGAAGAGGATGAGAGCGGGAGCAGGGGAGGAGAGGAGGCACAGAGGGAACAGGGGAGGCAGTTGAGGAGGAGAAGGAGGAGGAGGAGGAGGAGGAGGAGGAAGAGAAGGAGGAGGAGGAGGAGGAGGAGGAGGAGGAGGAGGAGGAGGAGGAGGAGTACCACAACTGAGAAAAGAGGGAGCAGGAACGGGGACATTGAAAGCCACGGACGGCATAGAGAAGGAAAAGGAGCAGGATTACCACAGCAACGACGAAGACTGACAGGGACAAAAACAGGGCAGGGCCGAGGCGGACTGAGGCTCCGCAGAACCCACATGCGGAGAGATTCGCAGCGCCGCCCATAACACGACCGAAACCGAGAACAGTGACCTGGCTGTGATGAGGACCTGGGCGCGCTGCGCGCGTGATTCTAGGGTATCTATAACCATGTGAAGACAGGCCCGCGTTCGATGTACATATGTACACATTTGTATTCGCAGAGCTGTCTATATCAGGTATGTATGTACGTCTGCGTGCCTGTATGTATGCATGTGTGTATGCATGTACGTTTGTGCACAATTGTGAACCTTTACATACACACTTACACATGCATGCCGATTTGTTACATACATATGTCACCCCTATGGGCCCATGCGTTCCACCCTTATCCATTGATCCTGTAGCCGTTTGCCTGATGCCGCTGAAATTGTTTCTCCCGCGTGGACGCTTCAAAACCTCACTCACTGGTTTTGATTCACTGTGCGTTGTCAGTCAGGGGAACGCTGGAGTTTGCTAGTTTTAGGCCTTTTGTGGGCTCCCAGATGCCCCCGTGCACTTTCAGGATATTTCCGGGGGACATCCGGAAAAACCTCTCGGGACCTTTTGGGGGGTTGGAGGAGGAAGGGGAGGGAAGGGGGATGAAGGAAAAAGAGGAGTGCGAGGGTTGGCGGGGGGGGCGAAAGGGGGCAATGAGGAGGGGAAACAGGAATAGGGGGACAGCAAGACGAAGATCCTCCGTCCTTCCTCTTTCCGTCTTCCCTTCGCCTTCCATCCTTTTTCCTTCTACGTAAATCGCCGTCGCCCCCCCCAGGCGTGTCGATACTTCTTGCGGGGACAGGCGTTTCGCTTGACATCCTTGCGGTCAGTTAACCTCTGCAACGGTTTCATGGATGGAGGCGGGTGACCTCTACGTCGATCCCGTCCCTCCTCCCTCCTCATTCCTTCTTCTTCGTCCCTGTTCCTCCTCCTCCTCCTCCTCTTTCCTCCTCTCCCCTCCTGCTCTTTCCTCCTTCTTGATATTCCGCATGTCTGTTTTGCATTCCCTCCCTCCTCCTCGCCCTCCTCGCTACCCAGGCGGTTCCACGGACCTCACGCCGATCGAAGTCACGCTGGTCCTCGAGTCTCCTCCGCTCCCTTCCTTCCTCCTGACGCTAACGACGCCGCGGAGATCCTCCTCCCGGTCGCCCCCGTCGCGTTTCGCCGCCGCCGCGGCCGCGGCGGCGACGCAGCTGCAGACGCCCGAGGCCTCACCCCCCCCCTGCGGCGCCCATGCAGCCGCAGCACGCCGCCGTGGCACTGCCGGGCTCCTCGCGGCGAGGCGCGCCCCCGACCCTCGCCGCCGGGTGCGCGCCCTCGGCCTTCGGGCGACCCTCGGCGGGTGCCCGTGGCGCGCGGCGGCTGGCGGCGGCCCTCGGTGGCCCTCGGCGGCCTGGGCCCCGGCGGGCCGTGGCGCGCGCGTGCGCCCCTCGTCGTCCTCGTCGTCGTTGTCCTCCTCCCTGTCGTCTTTGTCCATGGCCCATCGCCGATTGGCTCACGGATGCAAGAACCGAGTGGATACCGCTGATCCGCGGCCGAATCCCTGTCCATGTCAGGTCCCTGGGGGGCCTCATCCCGACTCTGTGCGCCCAGACTCGGGACGCGTGCTCCAACCTGTGCACCTGTCTGCCCAGGTTGGTTCTACCAGTGCGAAAGCTCCCGCAGCAGCATCCTGAGAGCCAAACGTTTCCTCTCGAACTGGCGTGGCCGTACAAACTCCAGGGCATGCTGCTCGTGCTGTCTGCTCTGGGTGAAGGCGTCGATCCGAGAGTGGTCGGAAGGATTCCTATTCAATTTGCGCGAAGCGCGGCGAGTAAGAATAAGACCGATGCGGCAATTGGGGATGCTCGAGGTGCGGAGGCCGATATCGCGGACGTGGGGAGCTTGGTGCAGACGGACCTGGTTCCGACCAGGCAGTGCACGACCTCCCGTCGCAGTTGGCGGCGCTCTCATCTCAGTATCCACACGTGGCGGCCACGCTCCAGGCGGCGAGACAGCAGCAGGTGGCGGCTGCGACGGGGCCGTTGGCTGCTCCAGAGCCCGCTGCCGAAAGCGAGCTGGAGCGCAAGGTGGCCGCCCGCCAAACCGAATTCACTCGGGAGGCGGCGCGTGCCTCGCGCGCCGGGCTTGTCGCACAGAATGAGGTGGAGCGTCGGCTGGTGGAGTGGTCCAACATGGCGAGGCGCTGATGCGAGCCGAGGGATTGTATGCGTCCGTTGTCCAAGTGCGCACCCAGCGCCAAGAGGAGCCCACCGCGGCCAACGAGGCCAGGCAGCAGTTTCAACCTGACCAACTTCGCGGCGAGCTGCCCGAAAAAGAGCGACGGCAAGCCCATTGGCGAGAACGGCAGGCAGCCCGTGCCCGCCAAGAACAAGTGGATGCACTGGGTGGCGGGCCCGCCGTTCGCGCTGCACCCCCAAGGAGGAGCTGGCCATCCAGCTGGTCATTCGCAAGTGCCCATCCAACCTCCACCGGCCGGGCCACAGGCTGCTGACGGCGGCGCGCAGGCGCAACAAGGTGTTCATACGTTCTGCATTCTGCGCTTCCTGATTTGGCCCAGCTTGACTAAGAGGCCTTGCGCGCGCGGTGTTTCGGCCAACGTTCAGCAGACCTGGCGTTGGAACGCGGCCGCGCAGATGCGCGCCAGGCTGGAGTCCGACGGGGACATGTCCGACGCTGCTGCGTCTGACCTCGGCAACGGACGCGCGGGGGAGCTGCGGCATATACAGCGTTGGGCCGTCGATGAAGGTCTCGGCGCCGACCGAGGATCGCGGGCGCTTCGATCGGCATCTCGTCGAGCAGGCCCCCCCCGAAAGCCGGCGAGCGCGCGCTGGCGGCGCGCTGCGATGCCACCGCCGGTTCCAACCGCGCGCCGCAGCAGTTCCAGGCTGCGCCGGGCCGCCCGGCCAGGCAGGATTGCGCGCCGCCCCCCGCGCCGCAGGCAGCGGCCCCCGCTGCGGCCGCGGGGTCGGGTCGTTTCCTCTGTGAAGGCCAGCGGCCTGTGAGGCGCCGCCAAGGTCAGCCATTTCCGATGCGCGAAAACCGCTCGGTCTGCAACGCCGCGAGTCGGAATGGCACTGTCCTCTAGTTCGCCCAGGGTCACACCGATGCGTGGCGCCTTGTTTTCCCGCGGGCGTCGGCTTCTTCCCGGGGCCCGCGGGCTTGCTCGGGCGAAGGGGCGGCCGCGCAGAGCGGGGGCCCGCGTTTTCCCTTGTCCGACCCTCCCCTGCAGGAGGCGCGACGCGCGGGGGTTGGGGGGTTCGGGTTCCGCTTGCATCTGGCCGCTGACGCGTCGTTCCTCGATTTGGTTTTTGGGGCCTGCTGGGTGCTTCTGCAATTGAAAACCTAGCGCGCGGCGTGAGCCTTCGGCGCCGCGCGCCTGGTCTCGGGCCTGGGTGTCTGTGGTGAGTCTGTTGAATGGTCGGGGGAAGTCTTCGTGTTTGCGGGGGCCTTGAACGTTCCGCGGGCTCCGACGGGAGATTGAAGCATTCCGATTGCCGATCTGGATGGGAGTGGATATCTGCGTCTGGCTCGCGTGAGTTCGCGAGAAGCGGCCCCAGGCGGCGTTGAGTTCGCTTGCTCGCCGCGGGGGTGGGGGGCGCGATGTTCTCGGCGCGCTGGCGCCCGATGGCTTGGCTGACTTCGCCCGGGCCTCCAAGCGCAGCTCGCCCCCGTCGTGGGCGAACGCTTGTCTTGCTGTTCCCTTGGCGCGCGCGGCGGTTGAGCAGGGGCCGCGCGGGCGCGCCGCGGTTTGCCCCAATCCCCAGCGTCTGGGCCCCGGTTTGCCGCGTGGCTTTTTTTGGCGTCGCGTCTTTGCGCGCCAGTTGTCGCCGCCGCCCGTGCTTGTTGACTAATTGATTTTTCGTGTTAGGGGCATCTGTCTGCGGGGCCGACTTCCGATTGCGCCGCGAGGAGCGCGGCCGCCGATGCGGCGATTCTTCCCAGGGCCGCCGGCGCGCCCCCCCCCCCCCGCGGGGGGGGCCCCCGCGAGGCCCGTGCCCATGTCAAGCGTGGCGCTGCCGGGCGTCGGGGATCATCCGGCAAGCGCGTTCGGCGACCTGCCTTGCGTCTCGGGCCCGCGCCTGTGGAATTTGCGGGAGTTCTGACTGTTGCTTGTCAGGGGGCCGCGGAAGTCCACTCGCGCCCCGAGGGGGGTTTTGGTTGGGCTGGCCAGCCGTTCCTTCGAGTTCCAGGTCCCCGCGTTGGCAGGTGTTCTGGCTGTTGAGCACCCCGTGGCATCGAGGTGTTCGGCTTGTCTCCTGCCCGGGTCCAGTCGATGAGGGCCCGCGCTGCTGCGTGCTCTACGCGGTGGCCCCCCCGCGCGCGGGCCGCGACCGCCCCAGTCCTGGTCAGGATCTCCAGGTGCCACCCGCAGTTCCGTCTGAGGCGTGAGCGCTCGAATCGGATCGCCAACGCGCGTGCTTATCTCGAACATAAATCGAGCGCGCAGTGCGCGAAGCTCTGGCAAATTGCGCCGGGCAGGTTCTAACGCGAAATATCGCCGCGGCAGTCGCGGCGCTGTTTGGCTCCGAGTGGGCCCCCGCCCCCCCGCCCCCCCCCCCCTCTCCGCTGCCCCCCTGATTTTGCGCGCGCGAGCGGGGGCGGTATCCTTTTGTCGGACGTGGTCTAATTTTCAGGCTTCCTGCTCTGCCGCCGCCGGGAGCCATGCTGCCCGGTAGTGCTGTGGTGCGGGGGTTGAAGGCGGAGTAGAATTCACGGTTGTTGGGATGTCCCGCGCCGAGCTCGCCCGAGTCGGCGAACGCGTGGCGGTGGGGTCACGAGGAATAGTTTCGCCGCTGGTCGCTGGCCTGAAGACGGTCCGCGCGCGGCAGGTTATGTCTCGGCCACGGCGGGAGTTTCCAGCGGGTGCGGCGTCTCAGCTGAGCATCCCGTTCACTGCTTTTGGAAGTGCTAGTGCAATGATCGAGATTCCCCCAAGACTTGGTCGATCTTGCGGCGGTTGATCATGCTAAAAATATTGTTTCTGGTGCCTGGGGCTTTCCCCCTTCTGGAGGTTTCTGCGGGCCATCTCCGTCGCCCGCGGGGCCTCGCCCGGGCATGGGGCCACTGGCAGCGAGGGCAGTATCAGAGGTGATATCGCGGGCGTCGATGGGCTGGGGCGGGCGCTGTCTGGGGATGGGCGCCGTCGCAGGTGCGGCTGGCCAAGTGTCCGCGTAGGTGCAGGCGGTGGCGTTGATGCGCGTGCGCGTGGATGTTTACCCTCTGCGCGTCAGTCCCCGCCGCGAGCCGAGCTCTTCGCGCTCGCCCAGTTTGCGACTGCCGCCGCTGGAGACCCCCCGGCCCGTTTCGATTATTTTAGGGCCCCACATTAGGTCCGTGGGCCCTTTTTCGCGGGGTCTTGAACGACGAGGGGCGTTTGTCAGCGCGTCGCGGACGAGAGGGCGCCCCACGCAGCCCCGAATTATGAATGTGCATCTGTCTGACGTAGGAGCCCATCTACACGAGGGGGCCGATCGTTTCGCGGACCGGGCGGCTGAACGGTTCCAGGTCAGCGAGGTTGAAAGCACAATCGCGAGAAGCGCGTGTGGTTGTGCCTTCGATTCGTTTGGTCAGAGAGTGAGCGGGGTGGACTCTGTGAGCCGCAGCGTGCTCGCGGGAGCCGTGCCCCCCTGTCCGTGCGCCTCTGCGGGCTCCTGGATGCGGGGCGCTCTCCTTTTGCTGAGAAGTTGTGTGTGCGCTGTGTGACCTGGTGCCTCGCCTTCAGTCGTCGAGGTAAGTTTGCTGATGTTTGGCCGATTCCGCGCAAGCCCAGTTACTTTGTCCAGCAGGTGGTTGACTGCCTTCCAGGCCCATGTGGTTCATCGGGGACTCTGAGCATCCACTCGACGATTTGGACCTTCTTGAGATGTGTGATGGTGCGCTGCACCGCGCGCTGGCAGGCCAATGCGTTCCTCACAGCAACTCGCGGTTCTGCGCGGGGTCTTGTTTTGCCAGCCTTGTGGTGGCTCTTTGGCGAACCCCCCCCGCATTCTCGAAGGCATTTGTTCGGCGACCCGTCTCGAGGCCCATGTTCTTCATAGGCGGGTAAGGAGGTTTTATTATCTTGCGCTGGGTGTCTAGAGCTCCGACCACTTTATTTCGGCACGGCGCCCCCTCCATCACCCCCGCATTCCACCAGCCAGCGCGCCCCTCCACCCCGACCCCTTTCATTTCGGCACGGCGAACCCCCCCGCCCCGACCCCTACATTTCGGCGCGGCCCATTCCCTCCGCACCCCCTCCGCACCCCCCCCGCCAACCAGCCAGTGCGCCCCTCCGCCCCGACCTTTTTTATTTCGGCACGGCACGCCCCTCCGCCATTATTTCGGCACGCACACCTCCTCCGCACCCCCCCTTCCTTCCAGCCAGCGCGCCCCTCCGCCCCGACCCTTCTTATTTTAGCGCGGCACGCCCCTCCGCCCCGACCCTTTTGTTTCGGCGCAGCACACCGCCTTTGCATCCCCCCGCCCACCAGCCAGTGCGCCCCTCCGCCCCGAGTCCTTTATTTCGGCACGGCACACCCCTCCGCCCCGATTCATTTTATTTCGGCGCGGCACGCCCCCTCCACATCCCCCCCGCCCACCAGCCAGCGCGCCCCTCCGCCCCGACGCCTGCATTTCGGCACGGCACACCCCTCCGCCCCGACCTTTGTATTTCGGCACGGTTCCGACAGCAGCGGCTCGCGCGTCTGGGTCACCCCCCACCGCGCCCCCTTCCCCCCCGCCCCCTTCTCCAAAGCTGCCCTCCAATGGGCCACCCCAGCCAAGGGCCATCAGAGGTTTGGGGACGTCGCCGAGCACCGCCGCCGCCGAGGGCCCGGGCGCTACGCGAGCGTTTGTGGCGAGGACGCCGGCGCGGAGGCGCCGCCGGCGGCCACCGGGCGGCGGAAGGCTCCGGCCGCTCGCGGCGACGGCGACGGGTGTGGCGTCGGCGTCGTCGGCGTCGGCGTCTGGAGTCGACGACGACATCGGCGTCTGGAGGCTCGTCGTCGTCGTCGTCGTCATTGACGTAATTAGTTATGGAGTTGGCGTCGACGTCGGAAGTTGCTCTTGAGGCGCTTCTGGGGGTTCGGGTCGGGCGTAAAGGGGGGTATTGGGGAAGGGGTGCGACTTCTGCGGCACGCAGCTGGTTTTGGCCCCGCCGCCACGTTCTTTCCTGGATCAATGTGTGCCCTCGGCGCCGGGAGGCGCCGATGCAGTAACCCCGCCTTTGCTATTCCCCCTTTTTGTCCGACCTGGAAGGTTCCCTCGTCGCGACGGCCGGACGCGGCTCGGAAATCTGCCCGGGGGGGAGCTTGAGCGGGATCCGGGGACGAGTTCTGAGCGAATGTTGGTCGGCGGGGGCGGCGAGCCCGAGGCCTCTCCGCCGAGGATCAATGGTAGTAGTCATCCATGTGCCTCTTGGTGGTCCTGGGAGGCCTCCTGGCACCTCGAGGATCTCCGGCACCTCGGGGATCTCAGAAAACCCCACAGGCCTCCCAACAATTCCTCCTCCTCCCGCTCCTCCTCGTTCTCCTCCTTCGGCAGTCGGCAGACCCCTTCGGCGCCACGGCTGTACGCGGCTGGAGATTGACCCCAGGATCCGCGTTAGGATTGATTTCGAGCGACTGTCAAAAATACGTCCGCCGTGCTTTTCTCACACATCGAAGGGGGCTGCCCAAAGGTGTGGTAGACCCGTCGAGGCATATTTAGCAGTGGTTCCAAAAAGCCACAACAGATCCCAGCAACCTCGGTCTTCGATCTTCGAACCTCGACCCTCCTCCTCCTCCTCCTCCGCTATTTCCGCTATTTGACGCGCCGTAAGGGTCACAGCCCTGAAGCGCAGCGCGGCGGCCGTCGGCCGCCGACAGAGGGGGGGAGAGGGAGGCCCGTTTCAATCCTGGACAGCGAAGGCCTGGAGGAAAGGGGAAGGGAAAAAGACGGGCCCGTTGGGCCCAACACCGGTCGGCGAAGGGCCCGAGGGGGCGAGGGCCCGCGGGGCCCTGGCCTTTGGCTCGGCGAGGGCCCACCCACCTCGGTGGGACCTAGCTGAGCTCGTCCGCGTGGTCGGGGGCGGCGGGGCCCTCAGGTCGCGTCGAGGGCGGCGACCCCGCCCGCCCCTGGCCTCCGTGATGCGCTCCCTCTGGTCCAGCGCGAGGTGCTCCGCGTCGCGCGTGCGTCCGCGGTGTGCACCTGCCGGTCCAGCGCCTGGAGCTCTGCGTTGCCGCAAGTCTGCGGGGCTCCGCTCCTGGCCTCCCAGCTGTACGCCAGCTGGCCAAGCGCGCGGAGCTCCGCGTTGCCGCCGGCCTCCATGATGCGCTCCCTCTGGCCCAGCGCGAGGTGCTCCGCGTCGCCGTGCGTCGCCGGGTGCACCTGCTGGTCCAGCGCCAGGAGCTCTGTGTTGCCGCCGGTCTGCGGGAGCTTCAGCGCTTGGCCTCCCAGCTGTGCGCCAGCTGGCCCAGCGCGCGGAGCTCCGCGTTGCCGTCGGCCTCCATCGCCTGGCCCCCAGCGCGAGGAGCTCCATGGTGCCGTCGGCCTCCGCGATGGCCCCCAGCGCGAGGAGCTCCGCGATGCCGTCGGCTTCCGCATTTTCTCCTTCTGGCCCAGCGCGAGGCGCTCCGCGTCGCGGTCGGCCTCCTCGATGTGCCAGTAAGCCTGCCTCGTTGCTGGTGGGCTCTTCGTCTTGTCACAGTCACCTTGGTCATGAACTGGTTGACTGCGTTGGGCTCTTCTCCTGGTACGGGTCTCAGCCGATGAAGTAGTTGTCGTGCTGGTTAAGGTCGATGGGGGTCGGCTTGTTGCTGGTAGGTGGAATAGATTGCGGGCGCACTCTGGCCTCCATGCACCGACTTCAAGCAGGGTTCATGGCGGCCCTGCCTCGTCCCGCTATGGCTAGGGGTCACGGTGCCCTCGGTGGGGGCGAACCCCAGGCCAGGTGATTCTTCTGCTGTCGATGAGGAAGGTCAACGCTGCCCTATGCTACGCCCTTGGGCGCTCGGGAGCTCCGTCTCCGCCATGGGAATGGTGGGGGTGGCGAGCTAGGGCGGACCGCGGGGGCGCGGGCAGTACTCGTCCTGCCCCCCCCCTGCCCCTCACCATCCCCCCTGGTGGGCGCGGGCAGTCCTCGTCCTGCCCCCCCGCCCTTCGAGCCCGTCTCGAAGTTTGATCCTTGCCTCACCAGGGCAACGTTGACTGGTACTTGGTGCAGTTGGGGTCATCGGGCTGGTACTTCTGAGCCCTGGCTGTACGGCGGCCGTGTCCGTCACTATGCAAAACGTGGCGACGTGAGCCTGGGGTGTTCCCTCGCATTCGGGGCTTCCCCAGGTCTTGCGTCCTGACAACTTGTGCAAAACTTGGCGACGTAGCCTGAGGTGTTCCCACGCATTCGGGGCTTCCTCAGGACTTGCGTTCTGATTCTTTTGTACATGTCGTCAAGGCGCTTCGTCACGATCCTCGTTGTCAGCCTGTGCCCGAACAGCTCCTGTCGAGGTGGTGGCCCTGCCGATTGCCTTGTCGGGTCGGTCCTGCCGGGCCCACTCCCTTGCCTCTTCCAGCCAGGTCGGTGAGCCGTTCCGCCTGCTGCCTCGATAGTAGTCCTGACCCATCTCCCTGGTCTTGTAGTGGTCGAGCGGCTGGAAGAAGTGGGCCACGTCGTCGTCGATGTGCCACCCCTGGACGTCGTTGGGCGACTCGCCAAAGCGCCACCTGATCTGCTTCACCAGTGCGGTCGCGATGGCCTGGCACATCCTGTTCGGGTACTCCTTGGCCGGCGCGGTGCGCCACTGGCCTTCATCGTTGATGCCTGCCAGCTCCGCATGGTAGGAGGCCGTGTGAAAGCACCTTCCACTTCCAGGCAGTCTCCTGATTTCTGCTCGGAGGGTTGGTAGGGATACCGCCATCAGGCTTGTGGATTTCCTCGAGCGCGCTCCACAGGTGCACTGGTCGAAGGTGATCAGCTCGACTCCCTGCTGGTTCAGGAGATGGCGCATCTCGGGAAGCTTCCAGGAGCTGGCGAAGTGCTCCTCGATGGGCTCAGACGGGTGCTCGAGCATGCCTGGGACTCCCAAATTGAGGCACATGTACATAAGTTCCAGCTGTGTCCTGTATAGGCGGTTGCCTGTCGCTACTTGCTCCATCTCTGGGCGGGAAAGGTAGCGAAAGCCCCACAGGCTACTTGCCGCCCCTTAGGGGTCTTGGTGGCCGACCCCTGCAGCCATTGGGGGGCAAGTGGCGCGCTCGGCTCCAGGTCTCGCACGGCGGTCCGCCGATGACTCCTGCAATTCTTCCTGCTTGTGCCATGTCTCGCCACTTGCTGACTGCGACCTCAGATGTCAGGTCGCCGAAGGTCGGGTCGTTGGCGATGTCCAGGCTGAGCATGTGTATGTCGCAAGCAGCCCGACTGCTGAGGCGGTCAAACCAGTCCTGAACATCTCCGTCTCGGCAACGGCCGCTGAATAGATGCAGCACATATAACGTCCGAGCTGGTCTGGGCCTCGGTACAGCGGCTGGCGGCGGTGGCTGCTCCTCAATGAAGGGCAGCTCAAGGCTCTCGTAGTGGCCGCCGTTGCTGTCGTCGCTGTCCTCGTCCGTATGTATTTCTGGAGGGCGAGCAGGGACTGCAGGCTTCTCTGCCCAGTCGATAGGCCTGCCCGCCCTTCGGTTCGCCTGCTGCTGGTCGCGGACAATTTGCTGGTTGTGCTGCAGCTCGGCTCTACTTAGGATTGCTGGGCGCGTCTTTCTCCAATGTCGAGCGCACTTGCGCACTCTCAGCAAGTGTTTGACCAGCCTGTTTGTAGTATGATAATCCATGCCGCATCCGTAGCAGACCGAACCAGTTGCCCACGAAATAGGATGACCCGACGAGGTGTGGTCCTTGGTGATGTGTGCTCGTAGCACCGCTGCGCTGGCTTCAGTACGTCCACAGTGGTAGCATAAGTACTTGCGCTGATGCTCGAAATGCTGGTCTGGGAAGGACGAGATGGCTTCCGTGTTGGTCCACCGTTGGAGTCGAAGCCTCCATCGAGCATGGTGGTCGTGGTCGTACTGGCGAGCTTTGCCACGTTGGCAAGCTTTCTTTACTGCGCTGAGGTAGCTTTGGTAGTCGTTCCTGGCCCAGTCCTTCCAGTCCTCGAGCGTGTATGCTCCACCACGCTCGTCAGGTCCTGTGTGGTCGCGGACCCAATCCAGGTCTCGGCGGAGCAGTGCCACCCAGCCGTAGCTACCGTCCCATGCTTGGCTAAGTAGCCGGCGGAGGTGCAGGGGTCCCCAGTTGAGGCATCTGCCAAATAGCCGTAACCTCTCAAGTCGCAGGACTATCTCTGGGGGCAGCTTGTCGACTCCTTCGAGGATCTGGGTGTTCGTTACTTCCTTTTTCTGTCGTACTTTCCAAGTGATCCTCTGCGCCGCAGCGTAGTTGACGATGTACTGGTTGTTGAAATTCCTGGCCTGGCCTGCGGTGAGTTCGGGCCAGGTAGACGCATTGTATAATAGCTGGGATAGCACCACGCTGTCGGCTAAATAAGCCTTGTCTTTGATTGCCAGCTCTGATCGCCTGTGGACTTCGCGATGGAGAGGCCTCGTGGATGTCGCTGCAGTGGCCACCTTCACTGCGACATCCACCCCAGGGGATGCATTGTCGGTCACGTAGGTCCCGAGGAGCTTGTGGTGACGAACCACCTCGACGTAACTCCCTGCGAGGGGGACCTCGATCCTCGGCACTCCCTCGGAGTAGAAACTGGCCCGCGCTTGCCGGCTCCCAGGCCCACTGAAGTCAATCATCACCTTGGTCTTGGTGAGTTGCAGCTGGAGGCCGAAGGTGCTGGCGGCGCAGTAGACGGCTTCGCAGAACTCGGTGGCCTCATGCTGAATGTGGTCGGGGCTGGTGAACACGTGCATGCCCGTTAGGTCATCGACAAACGATAGGCCATGTGGTTCTTGCTCCTGGAGTGGCCCATCTGTGGGGTCGTTGTCGCATGCGAAGCTGCTGTCAAGAGGCTTGCCCTGAGGTCGTAGTCCTCGCTGCGCCAGGTAGTTGTCAATCATGCGGTGGACTCGGCCGAATAGCAGATTGAAGTCCGCGTCGGCCAGGGGCACGCCAGGCCTCGTGCCCTTGTGCGGTGCCATAAGGTTCTGGGAAAACCTGTGTGATGTCCACCTGTTGCGATATCCTTCTGCAATGAGGGCAGCCAGGTGGGAGCCGTCCAACACTGTGTCGAGTATCCCTGGGTTGGCCATGAGGTGCTCCAGCTGCGGCTGGGCCCACAGGGGAACCTCGAGGTTCTCTAGCACCTCCTGGACTTCGTCCTCTTCACCTGGGATACCATGTACCAGTTGGACTACAACCGAGTAGAAGGCCTCCTTTAAGTCGTAGCAGCTTATCATGGAGCACTTCCCTTGGGCCTGACTTCTCTCGGTGAAGAGGCGCGCTGCAAGGACCGCCATGTCCGCCCCTCGCTTGGGCCGGCCGCCAACCTGGATGTCCTCCAGCGCTATGGCGAGGGTAGTGTTGAGCATGGTCCTTAGGTATTTGTGGTGGTGCTTGCCCAGAACGTTGTTCAAGAGGATCTCGCGGTAGGCTTGGAGGTACCTTGGGTCGCCTTTTCCTTTGGGAATTGCGACCAGGTCTCCACCCTTGAAGCTCAGCGGCTCTCGCACGGTGGTCGCCACCTTGGTGAAGAGGGGGTGCAGTAGCCTCGCTGCCTCCGTGGGGGCTGCCCTGAGGACAGCGTTCGTGAGCCCGTCGGGGCCTCCTTGCGCCCCAGCCTTGGCCGCAGCGAACTGGGCCTGACAGACGGCCAGGGGCATCACCATGGAGAGATCCAGCATGCCGTCGAAAGGCCTGATCTTGCTGTCGTGATTGTACTTGTCAGCAAGGTCATCCGCTGTCACGATCTTCCCCGCCTGTATCTTCGCGAAATGGTTGAGCTCCTGGTCCGCCATTTCCTGGGAGTTGTGGATCACCTCTCCATCATTGTCGAGCCGCATGGGCTTTCCTGCTGGGAATTTCGCCTTCCTCCCTCCGTACCTTAGTAGGTCTCGGTAAGCCTTCCACTGGGCCGCAGCGTCGTTCGCAGCTGAGGCGGAGGACGCTGTCGAGGCAAGCCGACTGAGGAATGCGCTTCGGTCCTTCTCGACGGCCGCGGCAACTATGGGCCCAGACCTGGTGAGGAAGGAAAGGATGGCCATGGCGTAGTCCATGGGCGAGATTGTCCAGTTCAGGAGGAGGTGCGCGTATTGGTGGATGTCGTGGATGGTGCCGTCGTCGTCGCCACGCTCTCTGCTCCAAAGAGAGAGTGAATCCCCTACTTCGCCTGCACAAAGAGAGTGGGCGTGGGCTACTAGTCGTCCAGGTTGGCCGTCGTGGGCTTCTCTTCTGAGTACTGCACGGTGGACTCTGAGTGTGAGGCGCCTGGCTCGGATCAGGCCCATGGTAGTCTTGGTGACGTAGGGCTTCCTCGTTGCCCTGGAGGCCTTGCCGAAGGCCTGGATGGCCGCGTCGTTAATGACCCTGGTGGCCTCCTCGCAGTGGGTGTTGACGTCCACCTCCCACGGGATGATCGGGGCCTGCTTGAGGATCTCCTTGAAGCTGGCCTTGGCGACGTCGTTGTTCAAGTTGGTCAGATCGGGCCTCGGTCCTGAGGCCTTGGTGGTCTTGCAGACGGCCCACTTGAGGCTGGCTAGCACTGGTATGTGGTCTTGTGCAGCTGTGCCTCGGTCCAGACCTGGCTCCGTGCTGCAGCTCGCGACGTATGGGGCGATCGAGGAGTTCAGCAGGATGTAGTCTATCCTGTGGTGCTGCCCCTTCGATCCGACGTGCGTATATGAGTTGCTGCCTGGATCCCTCGTGGTGTTGATGACCTCCATGTTAGTGTCGGCAGCGAAGCTGATGATGTGCTTGCCGTTGCCGTTGGTCACTTCTGGGTACCCACTGGTGCCAACTCCTGGGGACTCGTAGTCGCCAAGACGCCCGTTCAGGTCCCCCATGAAGATGTCCACTCGGTACTTGTCGGACAATCGCTGAGCAGACTCCCAGAATTCTCTCTTCTCCGCCGCGTGGGAGTCTTCGTGGGGTGCGTATGCAGATGCGATGACCATATCTGTGCCTGCAACGCGGGTCTTGATGATCAAGAGCCGGTCGTGCTGGTGGAGGACGAGGGTGTCTTTGGCACTTAGGTACTTCGCTGCCCCACTCGTGCTGATAGGTTGGGAGACGTTGAGCCAGATGTCGCACCCTCTGTTCTGCTGCATGTGGCCTGATGAGTAGCAGACGTATTCACCTACATTGCGGACGTCTCCTTCGCTCTGGGTCTCCTGCAGGGCGACGACGTGCAGGCCCATGTCAGCAAACTGTGCTGCTAGGTGCGTGGCCTTGGAGAGGCTCTGCTTGCTTTTGCCGGCCGCCTTGCCTTTGTCCGGCTTGAAGCTCACGGTGGCCTTGAGTGACCTGCAGTTGTACGTGCACAGGTTCACGTTGAGGTCGGCCTTGATGGTGATAGTGCTGATGGGCCTCTGGATCGCTCCTGGGGCTGCCTGCGGCTGAGTGGCCTCAATGATGAAGTCTTTATGCCGCAGAGGCGGGTATGCGGCCTTGACCGCGTCTGGCGCTGATCGCAGCCATTCCCAGGAGAGGAACTTGTTGTGGGCGATCGCCTGTACGGCTGCAATGTTCGGGTCCATCAGGTCGCTGGCCGAGGCTTGATCTGCTATCCCATCAGCGAGCTCGTTCCAAGGGTGCCCGATGTGCGAATTAATATGGTGCCACTGGGTGGGTCGGGCTTGTTGGAGGAGGCCTGCAAGTGTGCGAATGACTGCCCCCAACCTCGGATGTACGTGGCATTGGGCTTCGCCTTTGGCCAGGTTGATGACGTTGAGGGCGTCAGGCGTGATCTCGATGGGCGCGTCGGTATCTTGACCAAGGGCCCACATCAACGCCCAGAGTACTGCCGTGAGCTCCGCTGTGTATGCCGTCACCTTCTCGTTGTTGACCATGTCGTCTAGGGTTTCGGTGACTTTGCCAGCAATGAAACCCCGAAAGCCGAACGGGCCTCGCAGGTTGCTCCCGTCTTCGTACTCGTCGACAATGACAACTGCCCAGGCGGCTGAGTGTGGGATGCCGTTGTAGCTGCCGTCCGTGTAGATGTGTGTCCGCCTGGTCGGCAGCTCTCGTGATGGGCACATCTCCAACGCCAACCTTGCCATGCTGTGCAGGGTCGCAGTGTCGACGTCGTCGCAGACGTTGACTCGGCCTCGGCCACGAAGTGTCTCGGCTACTGGGTCCTGGCTGAGAACTGGCAGCACTGTCGCTTGGCCTCTTTCTCGTGCTGTCGTGGTGGGGATCTGCGGTCGCCTTCGGCCACGCCTGGCCCTCTCTGCATTGACATACTCGGGAGAGTACTCGATGTCGTGGCCTGGCGCCGGCCCCATGCCCTGTGGAACTGGACTTGGTGTAGTGGTGATGTGTGCTGGAGGTGGCCGTGGCGTCGGAGAACGCAATGGTGATGCTGGTGATATGGCTCCAGCCTGAGACGCACTCCGCTTCACGGGTTGTAGTGATGGCATTTGGCTCCCCTCATCGTAGTTCAAGTTGTCCGATCCAGCCCGCGCGGCCTGACTGAACAGGGGCTCGCGTGATTGGGCGTGGAGCATGCTGTCACGTAGACGATGAGGTTCGCCATCCAGGGCGTCTGGGTGACTGGTAGCACCCGTGCCGTGGTGGGAGCGCGCTGATGCCGAGGGGAGCGTTGGCTTCCAACTGCTGGACAGCGGTGAGCTGCTTGGGCCCGTCGGGACTGGGGGCCCAGGTGCTGCTGGTTGAGCTGCTGAGCCCGACGGGTGTGGATCCACCGCCAGGTCGTGGTATCTGTTGTGGCTGCTGCTGTTGTCCCGACGACTGTGGCTCTCCGCAGCACGCCGTGCGCGGCGTGCACTCCGTTGGGCTGTTCGGAAGGCTGCAACTGCGCACGCTTGCCTCCAGTTCTCGTAGCACTGCTCCATGCCATCCTCTGCCTCGCTGCCAGCCGAGTTTTGACCGTCGAGAAAGGTCCTTTCCACGTTCTCGATCTCATGGGCTCGAATGGCGGAGGGTTGCACACTGATTGCAAGGGCAGCCGGTAACGCATCCTTGCAGCCATCTTGGTGGCTTGTGACCTGGAGTGCTGACAGATTGGCGGATGCCTCACTCCTCCCTGGTAGTGGGCCGCCTTGGTTGCCGCCTAGCGCCCCTCGAGACGCGGCGGGCGGCCCTCGTGTCGGCCGTGGTGGTGTCACATTGGCCCCTCGAGACCCAGGTGACTGATACCGCTGCTGATGCTGGCTGCTGCGATTGGGAGTGGCCACCCCGCTGCCGATGCCCGTTGCGGTATCACATCTGTTTGGAGTCGTGGCCCCTCGAGACCCTGGACTCCTGGGAGTACCTGATCTGGTGCGCGAGATTGTCGGAATCTCCGCTGGTCCATTTGTTACAAGACGGCTGTCGCAATTACCTCCAGGGCCCGCCGTGCTGTCAAGCCTCTGGTGGTGGGTAGGTCGAGCATCGTAGTGGAGGACCCCACTGCCGTGCTGCGGGCTTTGGGCCCCAGCTGCTCTCCCCGATGCTGCCCAGGAGATCGATGCTGTCGAACTGATCGGAGAGCGTGACGAAGTCCCACATCCATCGTGCTCTGCCCTGTTGGACTCATCGGCCGCCTCCTGGCGATGAATTCTGTCATGCATAACCTGAAGCCTGGCGGCGCTGCTAGGCCCCCTCCCCCCCTCGGGGGGATTCGGCGGGCGCTGCTGCTGCCTGCACCTCGGCTCCAGGAGTTGCAGGAGGGGAGGGGGTTGCTGTGCCCCTTGTCTCGTCCCTCCTGCGGGCCACTCGGCCACGAAAACGGGCTATGCCTGACTCTCCAGAGTCTACCCGCTGACCCTTGTGGGCCTGGCTGATGTCTTCTCCTGGAAATGCGGGCACTGGACCGAACGCCTCTTCGAGGGCTGCAGCTGCGGCGGCGGCTGAGGTGTGCTGGCGCGTCATGATGTCGATGCCCTCATACTGCCTCTCGATGCTGGCCCCTGCCGCCTCCGCGTTCTGCTGGGACGCAGGGGGGGGGGTCAATACGAAGCTGCCGGCTCCCTCTCCACCACCGTGGCCGCGCTGCTCCTCATGCCCGAATGGAACTGTGGGCGTGAGTGACATTTCGCTGAGTGGCGCTGGCGATGCTGGAATGAGGATTACCTGAGATGCTGTCGGGGTGGGAGGGTCTCCTTGCTCTGCTGGTATCGAGCTAGCCCTTGACGTGGATGCCAGGTCTGTGTCTGCCTCGTGCTGCGTGATCCCCCTCATCTCATCACCCTCATCGGGTGTGGGGTGATCCTGGCTCCAGGGCGGCCACCTGGCGGGGTAGATCATCGGCGCGTGCTCCGAGCCGTCGTCCTCCGCTCGTGAGTCCTGCGTGCCCGCTGTGCCGAACTGGGTCAGGGGGGCCTCCTCGCAGTAGCGCCTTTGGATCTCCTTCGCCTCGTGGTCCCTCACTACGGACTCCAGCTCCTCCTCCATCTGTACGGCTTCCCATTGTGCTTTCTCCGCAGCAGCTTGTCTGTGCAACTCGTCTTGTTCGCGCTCGTATCTTTCTGCCTCCTCGTGCGGGTCTGGCCTGTCGGGGCTCCTGGACCTGTCACGCTCTGTGAGGAGGACCTCGCCTTCGTCGGTCTGGCGGGTTGCTGACCTGGCTGACCTATTTGATGCGGGCCTCCGAGGGGAGGGGCTGCTCTGCCTGCGGCCCCTGTTGGCTGGGCGCTCTTCAGCTGCACCAATTTGGAAGGTCGCGACGGGGGGCTCGACTGTGGCGGCCGCTGCCTCGGCTGCTCCTCTGGCTTCCTCGTACAGGTCGGCGGCCTCCTGGTAGTCGTCCATGGACTCTTGGGACGTTGGGAGGTGGCCCCCTTGGACGAGATGATGAGCTGCCCTCTTGGTGAAGTCGTAGCCCTCCTGTCCGTATTGCCTCATCTCGGCGTACAGGTTGACCATGGCCTTGCGTTCGCGTTCCCTGCTGGCTGCGATGGCTTCCAGGCTCTGCATCCTCAGCTTTAGCTCCTCTGTCTCCGACGCGCCCTGCTGCTCCTTCTTTGCGATGGCGTCTAGCTCGGTGTGCAGCGTGCTGGAGCGCTGGAGGCTTTCTTGCAGCGCAAGGTGGATAGCCTCCTCCCTGCCCGTCCTCTGCTGGCTGGCGAAGTCTTCCATGGCGGAGGCCTCCTCCATGCTGGCGATCCTGAAGGTGAGGGCCTGGGCGAGCTCCTCCTCGAGCGCCTGCTCCTGCACCTCTGCGTTGGACTTTTGCTCGCTCAGCTGCACCGCGTAGCTGCTCAGTTCCTGTCGCAGGCTCTCTGTGTGCAGCTGCAAGTCATGTGCGTTCGCCTCTTCTATCATGACTTGGCGGGTGAGACTCGCCCTTATTCCCTCAACACTGCCTTCGAGCTCTGCCCGCATTGCCTCCTTGTCCTTCAGGCTGGCCTTCGCGATCTCCTCCTCCTCTGCTCTGGTCCTTAGCAGGGCGAACTGCAAAGCCTGCACCTCATGCGGGACTTGCCGCTCCTTGTTGGCGCTTCTCAGCTCCGCTGCTTCATGGTATGCCACCTGTGCTGCCCGCTGCGCAGCGCCCGCCTCAAGCTTGGAGTACTGCTGTAGCTCGTGTATGCGGGCTTCAGCTGCCTCGAGCTCGTTTTTGGTCTGCTTGAGCCGCTCCTGCTGCCGTGCTGCTGTCTGGACGATCCCTTGCAGCCTGGCCGCCTCTGCCGGCGGGAGGGCCCCTTTTCCCTTGGCGTTGGCAACCACTTGAGCCTGGGCGATTGCCTGGACCCTGGCTGATTCGGCGGCAGCTTCTATCTCGAGGGCGTGGTTCTTTTTGGCCTCCTGGAGCTTCTCTTCCATGACCAGCTCCTGCCTGGCGAGCTGCTGCTTGAGATTACCCGCTGCAGCTGTCGCTTGGGCGCTCTCATGCTGGGCCCGTCGCAGTGACTCTTGTGCCTCGGCTCTTGCCCTCATCAGGTCTTGGTAGGCGCCGTCCTGGGGTTGCGGCTTCTCCCGGTGCTCCGCTCGTACTTGCTCGAGCTGCTCATGCAGGTGATTTGCCCGGTGTGTCGCGGCTTCCGCCTCTGCCTTGGCATGAGTGAAGGCTGTGTCATGGCTGATTATTCTGGCCTCCATCTGCGTCGCGAACTCGAGCTGCTCGTATTGTTGCCTCTTGATCTCATGTCGGAGGGCCTTGTGTTGCTGCTGTTGCTGCTGCTGGGCTGCGCTCTCCGCTGCGGTGATGCGCTGCAGCTGCTCTGACTCCTCCTTGAGTGCCAGCCTCAGTTTCGCCTGCTCGCCATTGTGGCGGAGTGCTTGTTCGCGAGCAACCCTCCTTACTTCCGCCAGTTCGGCAGCGAACTCTTGCTCGGCTTCGGCATGGCGCTGCTGCTGGTGGGCCCGCTCCGCATTTGCCTTGGCCACCTGATCTGCGAAGCCTCTGGTTGCGCTGCCTGCCGAGCTGGCTCTTGATCGTGGCGATTGCCCCACCACTCCTGATGGCCAAGCTGGGAGTCCGTCACCAGGTGCTTCGCTGTTCAGGCGCCTGTCAATCACAGCCTTGTGGAAAGCATCCCAGCTCGGTGCCAAGCCGAACCCGTCCGTGTCCCAGTCGCCCTCGTCGTCCGCCGCGCCGCCGTCGGCGAGCACAGCCCTCACGTCGGCGATGTTGGACTCGAGCTGCCTCAACTCCTGCTGCTTGGCCTTGAGGTCGTCCCGCAGCTCGTTCGACTTTGCTTCTAGGGCGATGACTTCGAGTTTGACGGCCTTGCGCCTCTTGCTGAGCACCTGCAGCTGGTCGTTCGGCCTTCTCGTGACCAGCTTCTGATACTTGATGACCGCGATCTCCCGTAACTGCTCCTCAGTGCTGTCCCCCGCGGCCTGCTTGGCAATGATCAGGTCGCCCAGCTTCCTCAGCCTCTGATCGGCGGTGCTCAGGAACTTCTGGATGCCTGCGCGGTCGGCCGGGGGCGCCTGCCACTTTGGGTGGGTGGTGGCCTGGTCCAGCGTGCATGCCGCCACTGAGTCGATGACCTTTTGAGCACGCTGGTCCGCTTTGCTGGAGCTGGCCTGGCCACCCTTGCCCGCCCTGGGCTGCTGCTGCTGCTGCTGCCAGGGATGCTGACTGGGCTGCTGGTGCTGCTGCTGTGGCCATTGGCGAGGGCTGGCCTGGCCAGAGCGTCGTGGCCGCGACGGCTCCCTGCGCCAGGGCGGTTCCTCAGCAGCTGGCTCGGCGTGCCAGTGCTGTTCTCGCCAGCCAGCGCCGTGCCACCTCTCCTGACGCCATGGGGGCGCTGCTGGCGGTGCTTCTTCCTCTTGGGCCTGGCCTTTGCCGCTACGGCCACCACCGCCTCTGCCCTTACCATCACGAGCCATCGCTGGCTGGGCGGAGTGGTGGGCGGCCAGGCGCTCGGCCGCTGCCCGCAGGCGGAGCAGGAGCCTGTCCTGGGCTCTCTGCTGCCGCTCGCGGCGGTGGGCAGCGCCCTCTGGAGCTCCTCCTCGATGATGACGCGGCGTCCCGCCGCTTGGCCGCAGCGCGGCCGCGAGCGCCGCGGCCTGCGGCAGGGGACAGGGAGGCACGGGTGGCCCCCTGCCGCAGGGTATGGCGCGCGGCGCGCGTGAGCCCGGCCTCGGGGGCTGGCCGATGCGCGATGCGCCCTGCCACCGCGATCGATCGGGCGGCAGGCGCCGACCGACCCCGATGGATCGATCGGGATCGGCTGGCCCCAAGAGGCCAAATGGCTTCCTCCTCCTCCTCCTCCTCCTCCCTCTCCTCCTCCTCCTCCTCCTCCTCCTCCTTGTCATCCTTCGCGTTCTCTTGGCAGGGAACCCATGAACCCTAAGTCCTCGAGGATGTGTCCGTCCCGATTCTTCGGTTGCAGCGCCGATCCTATAGCATCCCTTTGCGTAACAACCTACAGTCAGCTCAAATGTGCACTCGTCGTGACCGTTGTCGTTTTCCTCCCCTCTTCGAGCTTCGATCCTCCTCCTCCTCGAACCTCCAATTCGCTCCTCTCCCCCCCCCCTCCTCCTGGCCAATCCCCGCAGCGCCCCAGCCTTCGGCCCCAGCGCGCCCCCTCGGCCCCTGCAGGCCTGGACGGTGGCGGCGCTGGTCGCGGGCACCGCCGCAGTGGCCGGCACCGCCACCTGGCTCCGAGCAGGCGTTTGGGGGGCGGGCAGGGGATCGGGTACAGATCTGTCTGGAAGCGTTTCAAGTGTTCGAGTCCGAAGCGATCGCGGTTGAGAGCGGGGCGAGGTGGGTGCTCGAAGCGGTAGGTGCAGCCGCCGGGGATCCGACTCAGGCGGTGGGAGAGAAGGACAGACAGAGTGTGGCACAGGTCGCCATGAAGGCAAGGGGTCTTGATGGAAACGGGTCCCAGAAGTGTCTCCCTCTTTTCGGGCTCTCAGGGCCCGCCCCCCAGGCCTCAGGACCGTCGGACAACGACTCAGGATGAGCAGCTGGGACTGAGGGAACAGCCCCTGCGGGCCATGACCCGTTCCCCTCAGGAACCCATTCTTTCCATGGGCCACACGAGTAGCACAGAGAGGGCGGGCCGAGCTCCTCCTGCCTTTCAGCACTTTGCGCTCCACGAGTGTAACCAGCGCCCAGTCGCCGCCCGAGCTCCGCGGAGGGGCACACACACCCACACGCGGCCACGCGCGCAGTTCCGCGGCGGAGTCAGGCTGGCGGCCGAACGCGGAGGTGGGCGCGCGGGCGGGCCCAGCTCGCGGCAGCGGGGGCGTGCTGGGTTCACCCATAGGATAGGGCTCCGCGCAGCACGGCTGGCGGGGTGGTGGGCGGGGCGCAGCCGCGGGGTGGGGGGGGGGACGAGGGGTGGTCGACGGATGGGGGCAGAGAGGCGAGAGGGCGGGGGGAAATGAATCGGCGATGCGCAAGCAGCGCGGTGGTGCTCGATCGCAATGGGTTGGAAGAACACACGCACACACGCAGAGAGGGTGGAGGGGGAGCAGGGGGGAATGATGATCGAAGTTCGGGAGCGCATGTTTTTCTTTGCTTTCGGCCTCTGGGGGCCCGCTTCGGGCCCTGGGCCCCGGGGCCTTTCGATCCAGAGTGAAAATGAGCCCAGACTGGACATTGGGAGGGATTCGGGGTTGATTTTGTGCGGGCTCTGATCCGAGAGGATCAGATATCGAGATTCGAACACAGATATCCGAGATGTTCTGGCGTTTCTCGTTCTCTTTGGACCTCACTTGGCCTTCACGTCTCCGCGGCTGGACCCGCCCCGAAGTTCTGCTCAATACACACCCCTGGAGAGGTCAGCGGGCAGATGTTCGAGCGATGGAGGCGGAAGAGGAGGAGGAGGAGGAGGAGGAGGAGGAGGAAGAGGAGGAGGAGGAGGAGGGGGAACGGGGATTGGCAGGGAGGAGGAGGAGGAGGAGGAGGAGGAGGAGGGAGGAGGGAGGAGGATGAGTAGGATGAGTAGGATGAGAAGGATGAGGACGGAATGAAACATCGTAGGTGATGTGTCGTGGATGTTGTTGGTGGTGATGAGGGGGGATGATGGTGGCACGATTGGGGGGAGGTGGAGAAGAAAGGAGGAGGAGAAGGGCGACACATGCATTAGTAACGATTATTGCCATCATGCATCTACCCTTAACAGTGCGTTATTGCACTGTGTGGTTGTGCGCTAGGTAGTGCAAGCAACGTGGTGAAAACTATTCGGTGCAATTTGTGTTGTGCAAGCTATGTGGTGCAAGCTATGTGGCGCAAGCTGTGTGATGAGCATTCGAGGGTGTAGGCTGGTGTAGCTGAAAGCTATGCGGCGCAAGCTTTGTGCTCTAAGCTACGTGGTGCAAGCTCAGCGGTGCAATTCATGCTGTGTAATCCGTGTGGTGCAAGCTGTGCGGTGTAAGGTATGTGGTGCCAGCTGTGCGGAAACCAGCTCGGTGGTGCTAGCTGTGCGGCCGCCCAGCGCACGAGGCGCTCACGAGGAGCCCACGGGCGGGCGCGGGGCGAATGCCCGGCTGTTCCACCGAGCGCACGAGGCGGCCACGAAGCGCCCACGGGCGGGCACGAGGCGAAACCTTGGCTGACCCACCATGCGCAGGGGGTGCGCACCAGAGGCCAACGGGTGTGGCTGACCCGCCTGGCGCACGAGGCGCCCACGAGGCGCTTACGGGCACCAGGCGGGCAATCCAGTTCCTTTAGCCACCGAAGTAAGACGCCCCAAGAGCAAGCACTGCTTGGGAACTAGTGGCACGAAGACTAACAAAAAGCATGCGCATATGACTCATACACATTCGATCGGTATACTAATATAGGTGAGGGAGGTAGGAGGAGGAGGAGCAGGAGGAGGAGGAGGAGGACTAGTAGGAGGAGGTGGGAAAGAAGGAAGAGGTTGGAGGGACGGAGGTACGGGGGAGGCCGAGGAGTGGAGCTGACTGCCTACGAGAGAGGAGAGGCTTTTCGTTGAGCGTCCCTGGAGCAATCATCTACGCTGGATCTTTGGGTGGAGGTGTGGAGTATCGGTGGTTCAAAGATGGGGTCCTGAGGGATGGGTGTCCTACGGGCGAGGAACCACGAATAACGTAACTTAACCCTTGGTTCCCTTGGTTCCCCACCTGCCCTTAGGTTCCCATTCCTCAGGACCCCATCCTTGAATCACCGAGAGTACATTGGATGCCAGGGCGTGAGGTGAGGTGTACTTGACAACTGGTCAGCGTGCGCGATTGCGCACGGGGCACAAGCGCGTGAGCGCGCGGGGCTCTGCTGCGGTCCTCAGCGCGTGCGGCCCGCGCGTGCGTGCGCAAGGCAGCTAGCTGTCCCTTGCTGATGCGCACGTGGATCAAGTGCAATGTTTGCTCTGCAGGGTTTTCCAGGAAAGGATGGCTGGCACGATTTTGGCCTGAGACCTCTGGGCCTCCTGGGTTTGCCCATCTGTGCGAGCGTGATGGAGACGTTGGGATTCGGCTGGGGGGTGGTGGGGAGGTTGGCTTGCCTTGGTCCAGGGTTACCGTTGATCACCCCTTTGCCCACCTGTGCCAAGAATCCCGCCTGATCACGGGGTGCTGTTTTGCACCAGAAGTGGAAGTTTCTGCGTCAACAGCTCGCTGAAGCCTGATGATCAGTGACCGCCTAAAGGCCTCACTGCGAGAGGCTTGGAGGGCTCGAGCAGATTGAGGCGTGGCCCCCCGCCTAAATCGGGAATGTCGTTCCGAAGTGATTTATATTTTGGATCCTGTGTGGCGGAGCTCTTTTTCGGGGGGCCTAGGTGGCAGAGCCCCTTAGGGGGGGGCTAGTTGACAGGAGCCCCTGCTAGCAAAGGACGGGCATGCCGGCATGCCACAGTAGGCTCTGAGCGAACGCACATCCGAGCGAAAACATTTTGTTAGAATGCGGCCTGGCTAGCACTTGGGATCCGCTCTTACTCCCTCGTTTCTACCTCGCTTCCACCTCCATCCCGCCTCCCTCATACGTCCTACGTCCTGTTCCTCTCCTTTGTCGTCGCCTTCCTCCTCCTATCCCCCTCTTGGCCTGGTGGTCGTCGTCGTCCTCTTGTTCCTCCCTCCTCTTCTTCCTCCTCCTCCTCCTCCTGATGGAGAGCGCCACCGCGCGGTCCGGCTAGGGTCCCGCTGTCGGTAGGGTCGCGGCGGGTGGGCCCGCAGGTCGGGACAGCCATCGGCTCCGAGTCGGCCTTCAGGTGGCCCCCCCTCCTCCCCCCTCCTTTGCTCCACCTCCTCTTCCGAGGGAACGAAATAATGAAAGAAAGGAAGGGAGGAGAAAGAGGCGGACCAGCAGCAGCAGCAGCACGAGCAGCAGCAGCAGCAGCAGCAGCAGGGTCGAGGAAGTCCTGGACGCAACACATACTCAAATAACCGACTCGGGCAGAGGCGGGTGGCGCCAACGAGACGCGACACGGCGCGACGCACCGACCACTGCGGACACCGCGTGCCCGAGACGGCGCAGCAGGCGAGAGCGGCGAGGATCCAAGGAGGGAGAGGGAGGAGGCAGGAGTCAGCCCTGAGGAACAGGAAGGCGGAGGAGACGCGCGCGCGGCGGGGGGGTCTGAGCCCCCCCCTCCCCTTGGGCGCTCGCACGCCTGCCGGAGGCAAGGACCGGGGGAGGTTGATGGTAGAGAATGGGAGGAGCGGGGGCTGGAGTAAAAAGCGAAGCAGCCGCGGGAGAGGAGCAGGAAGAGGCGGATCAGCCCTGGAAGCGTGAGGGGGCGGAGGCGCGACGCAGGCCCCAAGGGCCTCTCCTCCTCTCCCCTTCCTCCCTCTCTCCTTCTCCCTGCCTCCCTGGCTTCCTCCAATCCCCTGCCTCCCCCCTCCCTTCTCCATCCTCCCCCTTCCCCTCCCCCTCTCCCGCCCCCTTCTCCCTCTCTCCCCCTCCCTCCCTCTCGACTCTGATGACACCGGGGATCGGCAACGAACTCTGCCATACCTTTTCCCTCCTCCTCTCCTGTACGGCTCCGCTTGCGCTCTCGCGCTCGCGCCCTTGCCGCCGCCGTCGAGACGGAGCCTGCGTCCGGTGTCTGGCATTGCGGGGGAGCGGGATGAAGAAGAGCAGGAGGATAGAGGAGGAGGATGAGGAAGAGAGCATGGAGAGTTGGAGGAGGAGGAGGAGATCAACCTGTTCGTCGTCGTGCGGGGGGCAGGGACATGGGGAGAGAAAGATGTGTGTGCGATACTCCCAGGGTAATTTACAGCAACAGCATCAAAGCATGTACATCTCAAACCCTCGATGCCCGCCGTTTTCCTCTTCGATCGTATCCCCCTTGGCGGTACATCTTCCTCACACGCACTTCACAGGAAGAGGGATACAGGAAACACACAGACATCGAGGAGGAAAGGAGTGCGGGAAGGGACGGAGGGAAGGGTTGAGAGGGAGGGGGACGGATGGAGCACGAGAGAGACTATCAGGGGGTGTAGGAACAGGACAACAAGCGGCATGGCCAGTTGGGCGGGTCGGGCGGGCGGACCCTCACGGCTGGGTCGAGCGGGCGGGCCCATACGGCCACGTTGAGCGGGCGGGTCGCTGAAGCGTCAGTCCTACATGAGTCGTGACGAAGTCTTTAGCGATAGCGCGATTCCCAAGTGAGTAGTAAGGAAGTCCAGAGTGAGAGCTTGATTCCTGAGTTTCGAGGGCGCAGCGACTGAGTGAATTGCAAGGAAGTCCCACGCGAGAGCGATATTTCTAGACAGTTAAATTGCAAGGAAGTCTCGAGCGGGAGCGAGCACTTCAATACATCGTGAGGACGTATCAGGCGAGAGCCGTCGTCGCTGTTGTTGTCGTTGTTGATGTTGATACTGTTGTTGTTGTTGTTGCTGTTGTTGTTGCTGCTGCTGTTGTTGTTGTTGTTGTTGTTGTTGTTTTTGTGGTTGGTGTGGTGGTTGTGATGGTGGTTGTTGCAGTTGTTGTTGATGATGGTTGTGGTGGTGGTGATGATGATGATGGTGGTGGTGATGGTGATGATGCTGTTGCTGTTGCTGCTACTGTTTTGGTTGTTGTGGTGGTTGTGATTGTGGTTGTGGTGATTGTTGTTGTTGTTGATGTTGTGATTGTTCTTGTTGATGCTGTTTTAGTAAACCGGTGGACAACAGCGCAGTTTGGAGACCGAGCAGCGGGTCCCAACAACGCAGTTTGGATGCCTAAAACCAGGGTGCAAGCCCCAGGAGGGACCCTGTTCGTGACAAGCAACATTTAGAACCCAGACCCTCGATACCCGCTCTCTGCGTCGTTGCTCGTGCCCCTTTGTGGGGCATGTCTTCTTTCCCTGCAACGTGTAATTGTCGCAGACAAAACATGAAGAACAAACATAATGGGAAAGGTCGAGAACAAGGAGGAAGAGAGTGCGGGAAGGTAGGGAGGAGGGAAGAGGGCAAGAGGGTGGGAGGGAGGGAGCAGATGGAGGACTGGAAGGATTAGCAATAGGGCGTCGCAGAAGGGGATGGCGAGGAAGTCTTTAGCGATTGCGCGTACCAGGTGTAATTTGTGAGGAGATGCAGCTCGAGAGCGTGATTCCAGAGCGCGGAGAGAGCGATTCTGGGGGCGGCTTGGCGGAGCCCTTTCTTTCGAAGAGGGGGGCTGCGGCAAACCAACCCTGGAATTGGCTGCCGAGCCTGTTCCCTGGCGGCCCTGGGTGCGCTGCTTGAGCTTCGGGGGCCCGAGCCGAGGCCGGGCCCCGGGGCCGGACGCGGTGCGCTTAAGACGGGTCGCTTGCGGTGCGCTGGAAAGCATCCCTGGGGTGGCCTTCGGGTGTCGGGCGGTGCGCCGCGCCGCCCGGGGTCCCCCACGTCTTTCGCCCCCTCAGCATCCAGCCCATTCCTCCTCCTCATCAGCTTTTCTTCCATGGGCCTGCCTGGCGAAGGCCGCCGCTTTGAACAGGAGCCGCCCGTCATCGTTGTCCTGTCCGTACTGAGTGGCAGCACGTAGGATGCTCGACCATGCACGGCAAGCCCTGCTGTGAGAGTGAACCGCGCTCCATCCCTTCAACTATTTGGCAGTTTGAGGTGTTTGTCAGCTTGGGGGCAGTCTCCTTTAGGAGCCCCATTTTGGAAACAAGCCGCCGTCAATCCGCGTAGCTGATGTAACAGGACGAAGATTTTGCGCGGCGACGGGTCGGTGGCTTCATTCTGAAAACGGCGCGCCCTTCGTGCTTGAAGTTGTTAGGCACATCCTGGCGAATGCGCGCGTCGCCAGGGCCTGCCATGCATCCGTGTAGCTGTTGGGTTTCTCAAGCTTCGGGGTCATAACGGGTGAGGAGGTCTCCAGCGAAGCGCCTGGCCCGATCTAGCCACACGTCTGGTGGTTCGAGGGGGGGAGAAGGATGCATCCATTGGCAAGATGGGTGGGGGAGGAGGACGAAGACGACGACGAGTGACGAGCACCATGACCATGACGAGGGCGTTGGCAAAGATGAGGGCGAGGACAAGTGAGGGTTCGGTTGGAGACGGGCGAGGACGCAAGAAGGGGGTGACGGGGCAGGTGGAGGCGGAGTGGGAGGACAGGGTAGGAGCAAGCCAGCTGCGCTCACGCTACATGTGACATCATATCCCTTCCTCCCATACCTTTCCATTGCTCTTCTCGTTCCTTTATCCGCGGGCGCGTCTCATAGGCGGCCTGGAACCTCAACAAAAACGGCCCTATCGTGTTATGCGCAATCGGAGGACGGGAGCTGCGTACATAGGAGGAGGTTTTTGGTGTGGAGGATGAGAAGGAGAAAAGTAGGAAGAACTGGATGAGGTTGTTGAATGAGGAGGACGGGAACTAACAGCAGCAGCAGGAACTGGAGTGGAAGGAGTGGGAGGAGCAGGAGGACCCGGGGAGGGCCGAGGAGAGGAAATGAGGGGGGCGACAACGACGACAAAGGACTCGGATGAAGAAAATTGGCCCACGCTATTCTGAACCATGGGAGCAAAGCGCCGATCCGAAAGTGAGGCCCACGATGCAGCGGGAGCACAATCTTGAAACACCGCGAGCGCTCGGATTGTAAACGACCATAGACCATATGAGCGAGAAGCTACATGTGTCCAATCTTGTGAAAAAAGAACGGTACGCGGAGAAAACCGGCCATCTTCGGGACGGAGCCAGGTGAGAGAGGAGAGTAGTAGTCACAATGTGTATTTGCGAAGGGAGGATGACGGAGGGCGGTAGCGATAAGGAGGGATCTAGACCCGACGTCGGGGTTTTGGCATCACAGCGTCGGCCTTCATAGGTTCCGACCCCCTCTCCGAGACCTGTTTACCATCTTGAGTCTTCTCTTGACGTTCGTGGGGCCTGGTGAGGGCCCCCCCAAGAGAGAGAGAGAGAGAGAGAGACCAGTGCACGCCAGATGCTCGTTGGCAAGATGGTGATACCAGGCCGCTCTGGTGTGGAGAAAGGGTGAAATAACGGACACATGTATGTTTATTTCAGGGTCCTTGCTGATCTCGAACCAAGCTTGAATGCACCCGCAGCCTGAAAGCACTTGCAGGCGAGGGGCACGGATGAGAAGAACGGCGGGTCAATCAATATCCATACATGGAAAACGAATGTCAAAGAAGCTCAAGGCAACTTGGATGTTATGACCCTGACTCTCGCGGCTCAGCGATGAACAAATGAGGAGAAGGACGAGGAGGATTGCGAGCGGAGGAGGGAAGATGGTAAGTTTAATCAGTTTCCGCGTCGATCTCTTGACGCCACTTGGCGTGCAAAGTTTCTTCGCCGCCGGCCGCCCAGCAAGCAAGGCTGTATACCTGAAACTTCAACGTGTTGGGGGACTGGCTCTTTCAGCGGGCTCCACCGCGCCGACCAAAGTGCCGAGCTGGAACATGTACCTGCGCCCAGGACTGGCTCCCTGGCACCAGGGCAGTTTTTCCCAGGAGAACAATTGCATCTGCGCGCCAGTGTGTCGCTTAGCTTCTGAGCGCCACATTGCTAAAGATGGCATGCGTGCAAGTGTTTGATGGCCGAACTCTTGGGCAGGCAGCGCGCTTGAAGAGCATACATCCTGCTGCTTTCTGCCTTATGAGACCAAGCTGTGTTCAGACAGTGTAACAGCTTAGATACTTAACACGCGTCAACTACCGTACTTGTGCTGTAAACAGGCAGCCGTCGATTCGTCCACGGTTTGCACGACGTCTCGAAGTCTTCGTTTGAGATGCCTAGCCGAAGGCTCGATTAAGTCCCGCTCCGACCCGTGGCGTTCAAGAGCCCTCCTAAGTAGACCATGTTGTCCTTGCTCGGGATAGGTGCATCGCCTGGCTTCGTTAAGGATGTGTCGTTGTTTGATTCAATACCGTAGCGGAGTCCCGCGCAGTGAGTCGCCTCCATCAGTTTAGAAACAGGTGCACCGTTCAGTCCAGCAACCATAATTAAATCATCATGGATCGGCTCACTAATGGACATCTGGTCGTCTTGGGTCAGACCGTGCGCTTGAGAAGCCCGTCTCGCGTAGTGCGTGAGGACTGCCATGACGATCGAGAACAGGAACGGCGATAAAGGGCAGCCTTGTGAAGGCTTGTGGCTATGGCTCGGACGTCCCACCCGCCTCTTTCACTCGAGAATATCAGTTCGTGTAGATGGCCAGCATAGCCTCGGCGACATGCCCCGGGATGCCGAAGCGGACGAGCGTTTGCACCAGGGTTGTTGGTGACAGGTTGTCAAACGCTTCATCTCAATCCAGCGTCAGCAGAGCCAGCTTGCGAGAGCGAGCTTTTCAAGCATCTTCGATCAATGTGCGAACCACTAACAGCGCGTCTGCAGTGCAGTGTCCTGATCGGAATCCGACTTGTGTGTCCTAGATTCTGTTTTCGGCATTGGCGTCCTTTCAACGACTGAGGATAGCCACTGTGTATCCTTCGGATCCACTTGGCAGCAAGGATATTGGTCGACCGTTGGCGCACTCGGTAGAGTCGCCCTTCTTGAGCAGTGCGATGACGAATGCTTCGTGCCACACGGCCTCATCAGTCCAACACTCGTTGCATGTCATTAAAGCCCACTCGCTTGCCGCAGTCCCTGGCTTGCATATAGCCTTCCAGGACTCGCCCTGGACGCTGTCGCCTCCAAACGATTGGTTCCATTTCAGCTTTCGCACAGCATCGCCAACTTCTTCCTGGAGGATCGGATCTTCGAGGATAGGAAGAACTGCGCCTACAGGGGAAGCGGTTTCGGCATCACTCGCGAATATCACAGCTCATTTAATTCAGAACAAGTATTCAGCAAGCGTGTTTCTTTGCTGGTCCCTGGTCGTTGTCCAGCAGTCTGCCGCGTGCATCCTACGTACTGCCCTTCCGTGCCGCCGGGCCGCTCCGTATTTCTGGTGGCAATGATATCGTTGAGCCATTGCCTTCAGTTTTACTTGACCGATGCGTTGATCATGCCGTAGAGTCATTTCTTTCTGGCAATCCCCACGTTCTCGGTTTCCTTCTGCAGTGTGTTTCCCTGGTCATTTTTCTCAACGTCCACGAGGCAAAACATTTGCCAGAACCTGTCCGTCGTGTTTTTGTTCCACGACGCGAGGGGTGTCAAAGCCAGCACCCTGACCTGTGCTGGGGTGCGCACCGGCCAGCCTCAGCGATCGGCGCTCTCCGAGGGCGGCGCAGAATGCCGCCCGATAGGGCCGCACGTTGGCCGCGCGCGGGGCTGCTCGAGGGGCCGCGCTGAGGCCGCCCGAAGGTCGCTTGGAGGCCGCTCGAAGGCCGCGCTTCCGCGCGCGCCCTTGAAGGCCGCACGAAGGACGCGCGCCCGCGCTTGCGCGCGCCAGAGGCGGGCCCGCTCGTGCTGCAGGAGACGGGGGCCCCCGGCGGCACGCTCGTGCAGAACGTCGAGTACAACCTCGATGGTCCACGGGGGGGGGTCCATGGGTCATCGTCGGAGTCTTCGCGGTCGCCAGTGGTCGCGTCGTCGTCGCGGTCTGCATTTGGCGTGGTATCATCAGCGGTCGTCTTCGGGGTGGCAGTCGTCGGTCATTGTGGTCGTGGTGGTGGTTGTCGACAGTGTCGTCGTCGTCGTCGTCGTCGTCGTCGTCGTCGTCGTCGTCGTCGTCGTCGTCGTCCGAACGTCGAGTAATACTCCTCCCCTCCTACATCCTCGACCTGCGACCATCGAACCTCAGTCCTCGACCCTCGATCCCTTCCTCGACCTCCGTGCTTCGATCCTTCTTCCCTCCTCGACACTCGATCGAGGGAGGCGGCTTCTTTGCCATTGCGCGCACGCCGTGTGGCCACGCCGCGGGGGACACAGGCGGCTGGTTCCAGTCCATGGACCACATCCCGACGGCTGTACTGTGCCAGACGCTGTGCCAGGCGGCCGACTCAGGTCGTCGCCATCGCCGTCGCAGGAGGAGGAGGAGGAGGAGGAGGAGGAGGAAGAGGAGGAGGAGGAGGAGGAGGAGGAGGAGGAGGAGGAGGAGGAGGGGGAGGGGGAGGGAGAGGAGGAGGACTGGGAGGAGGGGGGGAGGGGGGAGGCGGAGGCGGAGGCGGAGGCGGAGGGGAGGCGGCGGCGGCGGAGGAGGAGGCGGAGGCGGAGGCGGAGGCGCAGGCGGAGGCGGAGGCGCAGGCGCAGGCGGAGGCGGAGGCGGAGGCGGAGGCGGAGGCGAATGCGGAGGCGGAGGCGGAAGCCGAGGCGGAGGTGGAGGCGGAGGCGGAGGCGGAGACGGAGGCGGAGGAGGAGGAGGAGGATGAGAAGGAGGAGCAAGAGGTGCAGCAGGAGGAGGAGGAGGAGGAGGAGGAGGAGGAGGAGGAGGAGGCGGAGGAGGAGGAGGAGGCGGAGAGGGAGGAGGATGAGGAGGAGGAGGAGGACGGGGATGACGAAAAGGAGGCGGAGGAGGAGGGGGAGGGGGAGAGGAGGATGAGGAGGAGAAGGAGGGAGGGGAAAACTCGGCTGCTCACCTCCGTGAGGTCGGTGATGGAGGGGAAGGGGAGGGAAAGGAGGCGAATGGGGAGAGGAGAAATTCAGCAGCTCGGCTCCTCACAAGATGGGGACCAGTTGATGGCTGTGTGCGCACATCGGGGATCTCACCCTCCATGATTTCTACCCTGGGCAGCGTGCTCTTGACCATTCGGTTGCTACTCTGTTTTAGAATGATCCATGGTGACAGGGCGGGGCTCTGGGACGGGTGCTTGCCCGACCTTCCCACTGGAGGGCTCTCGGGCTATCAAGGATTCTTCTGCTAGTCCGAAGGCTACTGGGGACGAGCCGTACTGATCTTCGCTATTCTTGGATTGTGCTTGCTCTTTTTCCTCCCCCGCCATCGTGTCCTCGTTCATTGTGCCATGCTTGGTTTCGATTCGTTATGCCGCTATGTCCTGGCCGGCAGACCGAGGAAGAATGAGGTGGAGTGTGGACGAGAGGGTGGGGGACGAGGGAAAGGATGTACCAGGAGGAGGGGCAGGAGGAGGGAAGAACAGGGAGCATGTCCTCCCTTCTCGTCATCACCTTCCTTTGTACCCAGCCCTCGGTGGTTGGGTTCTCGTTTTGAATCGAGGACTGCGGTCGCACACCTTCCTCCTCCCACCCCCCTCCCGCCTCCCCTCTGGGGGGATGCGATTGGGGGGTTCAGCTTAGTGCGGTGCTACGCAGATCAGGGCGGGACCTCGCCGTCCCTGGGGGTCTGCGATCTGCGATATTGTGGCCATTTTCGAGGGCTGCTGGGGGTTCAGCGGGATGGGGACCGAAAAAGTTCGGGTCGTTTTTGGATCATTTCACGACGCAAAGCTTTGAGCTCTCGACCACTTGCCCAGAACCTGTTTGTCGTCGCGGGTCGCTTTCTGATGACCTCGTGGGGCCCACAGACATACCCTGGACGCCGACATTCTGAAACAAAGTCCATCGGAGACGTACCTACCGCCCCGCATTCGCGGATACGAGTGAAATGAATTGCGACTTTGTGTTAGCGGCGCGTGCGATCGCTCAACGCGGTAAAGCCTGGTGAAGGTTCGAAAGGGCGAATTTCCACCGAGGGCGGGCGACGGAAGACGAAGGCGGCCGCGAAGGGGAAGGCAAAGAGGGGATGGCGCTCGGAACATGATGAACTGGACTGGCCGCCTGTGCTGCGGCCCAGGCTCCTGGAGGAGTCCTGCAAAGGGGCACTCAGGGGCTGCGCAGTGCAGACCTGCCAGTGGGCAGGGGGACCCGGCCACGCGAGTGTTTCTCCACGATGCCGGCGTTCTGATAGGGCAAAATGCTGGGAGCGAAATTGCAAGCTGCAAGTGTGGGCCAGGGCGGATGAGTGCGTGCAGCAGGCCGACGTATACCAAGTCCGTGAGTTGCGTCGATCGTGAGCGTGTACCTAGCGTGCCAGCGCTCATCTTGATTTTTGGGGTACTGCACGTAGAGAGGGTGCACAATGTGTCATCATTTGTCTTCCTTTTGCTTCTGCATGCTCACTACTAGCATCGCTTCGCGTCATCTGGCAGCCGCTTCCTAGGAAGTGTCATGGCGTCCGGCCCTTATCATCCGAAAAGGTATGTGACGGAACAGCACGATGACCGAACACGTGACCGAAATTGTGACCGCAAGCGTGGTGTGACCGAAATTGCAACCGAATTTGAACATCGCTTTGGTTTCGAACCAAGAAGTTTTGGTCACACCCTGGCTCGTTCGGAACCTTCTGGGAGCCGTTTTCGGCCACACTCGGGCAGATTGTCGGGCATAGTTTCGGTCATTACCTTCCTTGGATAGAGCCGAGGTTGCGTGAGAATAGCAAGCCTCGGAGCCATCAGCGTCTGACCCTGGACACCAGAACTCTGAAGGTCGCCCACGTGGGCGCGTAGATTATCGCGTTCGCGCCTCGCAGCCTGGGCTAAGCGCAGTCCTGCTCCAGGACGGCGGCACAAGAGCGCGAAGGTACCCACGCGTTGTGCATCGCCTGGCACGAAAGTGGGTGACCCTGAACGCATCGATTTTAGGAGAAGCAAGTCCGCCGTGATTTGTCTCAAACCCTGAGGTCTTGGGAGGAGGAGGAGAAGGAGGAGGAGGTGGAGGAGGAGGAGGAAGAGAAGGAGGCGACGACGACGAGGGAGGAGGCGGAAGCGAGGAGGAGGAGGAGGAGGAGGAGGAGACGAAGGATGAGGGATGGAGAGAGGGACGGAGGGAGAAGGAGGAGGAGGAAGAAGAGGAGGAGGAGGAAGAGGAGGAGGAGGAGGAGATTTGGAGGTTTTGTTGGACCTCGCCCCGCCGCCGGCTCGAGGGACTGCCGCGGGGCCGCGCCCTCGGCTGAGCCGTACTCGGGTCGCGCCGCGCGCGAGGCCCTCCCCCCAAAAAGGCCTCCGCAGGGATTCTCCGACGACGACGATATCGTTAACGTCAACGACGACGACGACGACGACGACGACGACGACGACGTGACGGCGACGTTGATGCACTCAGGAGGGCCCCGTGGAGGCCTCGGACAGGGGGCCTCGGCCTCGTGCGGCGCCCCTCTGCGGCGGCGCGGCGATGTGCTCCTGCCGTGGCGGCCAGGAGCGCGCGGGCGGCGAGGAGCGGCGCGCCGCCGCGGCTGGCGGCTGCGCCTCGGCGGCGCAGGGCGCCGCCGCGGAGCGGGGCGCGGCCCCCGCGGGCGGCGAGGGGCCTGCGGCCGCCGTCGGCGGCCCTCGGCGGCCGAGGCCGAGCCCGCGGCGACGACCAGCGCGGCGGCGGTGGCGAGGGCGAGGGGGCGGCGACAGGGGCGGCAGGGGCGAGGGCGAGGAGGAGGGGGGCGGAGGGGGGGGAGGCGACGGCGGCGACGACGGGGATGGCGGCGGCGACGGCGACGGCGACGACGGCGGCGGCGGTGAGTTCGGCGACGACAGTGGCGACGACGGCGGCGACGACCCCCGCGGAGTCTCCCCACCGGTGTCCTCGTTGCGGTCGTCGTGTCCGTAGTCGTGGCCGCCGTCGATGTCGTCGTCGTTGCCGTTCGGCGGCGGCCGCAGAGGCTGCCGGAGGGGCCCGCGGGCGCCGCCGCGCAGAGCTCCCCGGCGGAGGCCCTTCCGGGTTGTCGTCGTCGTGGCCGTGGCCTTGGACGTCGTGGATCTTCGTCGTGGCCGTGGCCGTGGCCGTCGTTGCCGTGGCCGCGGCCGCGGCCGCGGCCGCGGCTACCGTCGTCGTCGTCGTCGTCGTCGTCGTCGTCGTCGTCGTGGCCGTGGCCGTGGCCGTGGCCGTGACGGTGGCCGTCTCGGTCGTCGTCGTCGTGGCCGTGGCCGCGACGCCAGAGGAGGCTCTTCGGGAATGGCCCCTTCTACTTATTTCTTTTCTTGCACAGCTGCGTGCTAGAGTTCGGGCGCCTTCGTCGTTCGTCATCTCCCCCGCCCCTCCCGCTGGCCCTGCGCCCCTCCTCCCGACCCGTCCGTTTCCCCAATTACCCTTCCCCGCCCCCGAAGGACTCAGATCTCGTATCCCCTTTTTTTGTGCGGTCGTCGTTCGTTGTTTTTTGTCCTCGGTCCACCCACTTACACCGGACCGCTCCCCCTGGCCTGCCCGCTTCCGCTTGACCCGTCCTCCGCCCCTGTCTTGTCTTCTCGCGGCCTCTACCCCAGAGCTCGGACCTCGATGTTCTCTTGCACAACTGTGCTCTGGAGACACTGAGCCCTCTCTTTCGTCGTGGTCCTTGGCTTGACCTCCCCTTCTGCACCCTCACCCCCCCCTACTTCCCAGCCCACTCTACCCTGGCTTTCCTTGCCCCCTGGCCCCAGGCCCTGCCCCCACGTCCCCCCCCCCCCCCCAAATTACTTCCAGTACCCTTTCTTTTCCCTTGCGTGGTTCGCGGTTCGCCTGATTACCCTTTCCCCCAACCCTGCCACTCTCCCGGGTTTCCCTGCCAGGGCTCCTCCTCCGCCGGGCCTTCCCCCAGCCCCGCGGGCCTTCTACTCGCTTGCGCAGCTGTGCTCTCCAGTTCGGGGCCTCTAGATGGTTCCAGGAGGCCCCAAGGAGGCCCCTAGGAGGCTCCCGAGAGCACCAGAAGGCCCCAAGATGTCCCAAGAGACCTCCTCCCTTTCTTCTCCTCGCCGCTCCCGCCGGGCAAGAGCCAGGGGCACTCGGGCCACCTGTCCGGGGGATGCCTTTCCGAGGGGGCCCGCCCACACGGAGCGCCCTTTTTCTGCTGCAGCTTGCGGTGCGGAGCCTCAGCCAGCCCTTCGGGGTCCTCTCCCAAGGGGGGGCGGGAGGCGGGGCTCCGGCGCTCCCAGACCTGCCGGGCGGTCCGGCCTGCGCCTAGAGGCTCGGGCCCCTTGCTGCCTTGGCACTTTGCGTAAATGCGCGCGGAGGCCTCCGCGGACCGCTGGATACTTCTGGAGACCCCGAGATACCCCCAGAGGCACCCGTCCCGAGGTTCTGTGAGCAGGCTCATCCTTTTCGTCGTCGTCGTCGTCGTCGTCGTCGTCGTCGTCGTCGTCGTCGTCCTGTTCATGCTTCTCTTCCCCACTTCCCCCAACTCCTCCTTCCCTCTCCTCATCCTCCACCCTCCCTCCTCGTCGAACCGCTCTGCTCCTCGACTGCAGACCGTGCCAGCCGCATGCCTTGAGCAGCATGCCAGGCCTGCTTTGTTTCTGTCGCGAGCTGTGCGTGTGTACTCGGACGCTTCCCTTCATGTTTCGGCACCTCCTCCGTGGGAGTCTGTGTGGACCCTGCGGTGGGGCCTCGTGCTGTTCCGACAGATGTTGCACCACCAGGAGCCTAGCTGGCTTCGGATGGCCTCAAATAGCCCTGCCGTCCCCTACTGACTCGCTCCTTCTCCCTTCTTCCATCCCCTCTCTCTCCCTGTCCCCTCTCCTCCTCCCTCCACGCTGCTTCCACCCCCGCCGCCCCTATCGCCCTCCTCCCCCCAGGGTGGTAGTTTACACGGTCAGGTCATCGCGGAGCGCCTCTGGATGATACCATGCGGAATGTAGGACAAGCCCCATTTCACCCCTTACCCCGGTCTATCCCCCCCGTCCTCCTGCCGCCCAACCCACCCTCCTCGCCCTCCTGCCCCCCTCGCGCCGCCTCTCCCGCGTCTTGGTTGGCTTTCGTGCACGCTGGATTTCAAACAAACACACGTCCAACGTTTTTTCCCATCGGAATGGCTTCGGTCCTTCAAAGCGGGTGCCACTTCTGAAGCACCGACACAGTTCAGGGCCGTTGTGCCTTGCTCTCATCGTTTAGAAGGTGACTCTCGCCCCAGCGTGGCCCATTATTCTGGATCCGATACCTTCCTTGTCGTTGCCGCTCCCATTCATACAATTACCTCTTCCGCCTTCCCCTTTTCCTCATTATCCTCCTATGTCTGCTGCTTCTCCTTCCCTCCTCCTCCTCCTCCACCTCGTCCTCGTCCTCCTCCTCCTCCTCCTCCTCCTCCTCCTCCTCCCCCTCCTCCCCTCCTCCTCCTCCTCCTCCTCCTCTCCTCTCCTCCTCCTCCTCCTCCTCCTCCCCCGCATCCTGCTCATCCACCTTCTCCTCCTCTTATTCACAGAGCCTCCTTATCCGACCGTGCAACAAACGCGACGTGACAAATCCTGCAGTGCTGCAGCTGATATTTTGGGATTTGGGGATCAAGGTCGTCGCGGGCACACCAGTGGGCAGATACAGACATGTTCAACGCAATGCTCTGGGATGGGTGGGAGGGGGTCGGATGTCAGAGAGGGTGCGAGCGCACCTAGCTCATCGCCTCCTCCAGTCGCCCTCCCCACCATCCCCGCCCTCCTCGCCCTCCCCCCATCCTCCCCTCGCCACCGTCCCCTCCCCCGCACGCTCTCGCCCTCCCTGCTCCACCGTCCCCTCCCCCCGCCCCGTCCCTCCCCCTCCACTCCCCCTTGCCCTCCCTCCCTCCACCCGGTTCCCCCCCCCACCTCCCCTCGCCCCTCGCCCTCCCTACCCTTCCGAGGGATCCCCGCGGGGCAGCAGGGCGGCGTTCGGCGGAGGGATCCGCCTTCTGCGCCTCCCTGAGCGCCAGCACCCCCCTGCGCGCGGGAGAGGCGCGGCTACGCAGTCGGCAGGTCGAGCTCTACGAGCGGGCGTGGGAGGAGCGGCCGCGTGCCCCCCCCCCCTCCCCCCTTCCTCTTCGGGTCGGACGAGGGGGGGGGGGGGGGCGGATGTGGAAATGGGGCGTCGCTCCCAGTTCAGGCGATCGCAAACACGGATCAAGGGGGCGTGGATTAGCCACGGGTCACGTTTTCATGCGAAATCGCGGATCTCCGCCGCCGAACGAGGCGGCGCCGGCCGCATTTTGGGGAGGGCACCTCCCCCGATCCATGGATTTGGCGACCGCGCGCCAAATCCACGGATCGCTAATCCACGTATGCGCGCCCCCGACCAGTAGCTCCCAGTAGCCACGAAGCTTCCAGGTCCCACCTTATGTTAGCTGATTTCGGGAACCTCCCCCACTTTCCGTCTTCGCCGACCCCTGCGCCGGGCCGTGACCACGCTTGTGAAGATCACGACAACGACGACCACGGTGACCACAGCGACAGCGGCGTCGGCGGCGTCAGCGTTGACGGCGACGACGATGCTGGCTCTGCCGCTGGCGCCGCTGACGCCGCCCACGCCTGCCTGGGCCGCTGAGGGAGGGCTAGAAGCCTGTCGACATGTTCTAGAGCCATCTTGCCATGGGCACCCTTACGGTGGAAAGAGACGCGACGCAGGTTGCACGAAACCGCGGGGGTCCTCGTATTGAAAACTCCTCTGCAAATTCTTCTCGCATCGTCACTTAACATGTAACAGTGGCCGTGGGTGGACGAGGGTTTCCTTGAGCTCGAATCCTCCTGGTGGCAGAAGTTTCTGGTGGCAGCTCTACTATTGCGTGTTAGGCCTTGCGCACGCTCCCATGGTCTTTGGCAAGTTGAATTTTGACAACCACGAGAGGGGATACTCCCGCCACGGCCCATACAAGCCCAGGCGCGGGGCGCCGGAGCCTTTGGGCTGGGCGGCGTCGCTATTACTACACTGCGGCCGCCTCGCTACGCTGCGACAGCGTGTTGTGCACAGCATCTTGGTTCAACCCTTGAACGCATACTATTTCAAGTCGCTCAGTCTACCTGCCCGTGACGTTCTAGAGCCGGGCAGCGTGAAAGATTGTGCGATCGATGGCAAGTGATTGCCATGATGGTCCTTCGAAGGCCCTCCAGATTACTGGTTTCACCGACTGCCTTGCCGAAGTCCTTCTGATATTTTGGTTTTACCGAAGGCCCTCCGAAGGCCTTCCGAAGGCGGCGACGCCCTCCGCAGGAGTGCCTCCGGCGGGAGGCGGCGGCGCCGGCCGTGGGGTGCGGCGCGGCCTCCGCCGCCGTCGGCACCAGCAGCCCTCTGGCCGACAGCCGCCCCTGCGCCAGCGCGGCAGCGCCGGCGCAGCTGCCGGCGCCCGGGCCGCAGTGCCCGAGGGCGCCCGGCAGGGACGAAAGCTCTCGGTTCTGAACGCAGTCGCAGGGGCGGAGAGAGGGGGGCGGGCGTGGGGCAGGAGGAGGGGTGGAGGATATGGGAGAACGGGGGGGTCAGGGGTAATTCAGGCGAGGGGGTGAGGTTGACGGGGGGGGAGGGTGGGAGGAGAGGTTGACGAGGGAGGGATGTTCGACGATAGAGGGTCCAGGATCCAGATTCGAGGATCGAGGATTTAGAAGGATCGAGGTTCGGATATCGGTGGCCCTCGGCGAGGTTCGAGGATCGAGGATCGAAATTAGGGGTTCGTGGATCTAGGTTTTGGACATGTTTTGCCTTTCTGGGGCCTCCAGACGGTTTCTCGTCGCCACGGCCAGGAGAAAGGAAGGGAGGGGGAGGCGAGGGCCAAGGTGAGGTGGAGGAGGGAGATGGGAAGATTGGGGAGGTTGGGCCGCCCTGGTACCCTTTTGGTCGCCGCTCGAGACTTGTGGGGCAGCCGAGAGGTGGATGTGCGCTTCATGGTGCGCTTCGACACGAGGCCTGGCCAGGAAGTGAACTTGGTCGGCTCCTGCGACTTGCTCGGCTGTTGGGACGTGGGCAAGAGTGTGCACATGGCCTGGACTGAGGGCAACGTCTGGGCCGGCAAGGTCGCTTTCTGTGTTAGCTCGGAGGGTAAGTTTGAGCTCTCGCTCTCCAAGACCTCGGGCGCCACTGCAATACCGCGGCGAGTTTTGTTTGTCCCTAAAGGCCACCAGATGACGAGCCAGACTGAAGCAACGAGCCCGAGGATTGGGGTTCGGAGCTGCGGGGGGCCATGCCGCGGAAGAGAACGTGACGTCGAAGGTCTGGTCCGCTGCCAAACCGTACCGAGTCATGCCAACAACAAGAGTTCTTGCTGGAACGCACCATGCCTACGAAGCGGATCAGGACCGCACCGAGAGGAGACAGGTGGTGCATTGAACGTCCGATCATCGGTTGTTCGCGTTCCGCGTCCTCCGTCTTTTCCGAAGCAAGTGTGCTTGAGAGGACAAGAGCACCCAACATCTTGTCACTTCGCGTCACCTCACCTGCCCATCCAGAAACGATGCCCAAGCGCGTTCATCTGATCAGGGATATGGAGGAGCATGCAGTTGAATGATGGGCTGGGCAAGCCATCATACCACAAGGGAAGGAGGATGGAGGAAGATGGGAGGGATGAGGAGAAGGAAGATGAGGAGGAGGAGGAGGAGGAGGAGGAGGAGGGCGGAGTCTCCAGGCCTCATCAAGGCTGCGCACCTCCTCCGCCCGGCGGATGTGCTCACCAATGCTGCTTCTGCCAGGCTGACGGCGCTCGACGTGGGCATCGCGGCGCCGCACGCGGCCATGGCTGGCGAGGACGCCGCCGCGACCTACGTGTGTGGCAAGGTTTATACCGCTGCATCACTACGAAATTGATTTACCCAAGAATTGAAACGCCAAGTAAAATTTTACTTGATTTTTTGTAATTGCGCGGGTCATAGGGGGGTAGGCTGAGTGGACGGGTGCAGGGGCATTCCAATGTTCGACCCGTACGACACTGCGATAATGATACACACGCCCAGCATGCGTAGCCAGTTCGGGGTCGGCTTCTGTTTTGCGTTGTCGGCCCTCGCCGCGCTCCCAGCTACAGGCCGCATGCGTCGCCACCACTGGTGCGCGGGTCGTGGAGCAGGACAAAAACTGTGAAAGGCGACTCAAGGGTGGACGAATCCTACCCACCCGCAATGTCACGGAATCTGCGCCGCAGGTTCTGAATTGCAAGTGGCGGGGCCCGCCCACAGACAACATGAAACGCGACCGCGACGGACGCGGTCGCCCACCGTGCAATCAAAGGTGGTGCCACCAGGAAATTTGGCCCACTAGCGCGGTTAAGGCGCCCCAAGCCATAAGACGTCAAGCCATCATCCTTTCCCGGCATCCTTGGCTGCTGCCTCGGCCGTCCAAGGGTACCCTTGGCGGCGCATTCATCCTTGCCGTTTGGGGTTGAAGCCCGTTGCACGGCGGCGTCGCAGGGATGGGGGAGGCAAGGGTACCCTCGGGGATCCTTCCGTATCCTTGCCCATGTTCTCGTTTGGGCGGGCGCATCCCCGCGCGTCTCTTGCCGCGTAATGGCGTTGCACGGCCCCTTGGGCATCCTTGCAGATTTTTGGGTTGTCGCCTTCTCCCCGATCTTGGGTCAGTTTTGACCCGGCAACGGTATATCTTCATGTTCCCCACGCCCCCTTCTTTGCCCCCCCCCTCCTCCCCCGCGGGGGCTTGTCGCCCGCTGCTCTGAGGCGCCCTTGGCCCATGATGGCATCCAGATTCAAAAATGTACCATTGGTTTTCCTCAAGCGGTTTCCGTGGTGACACGTGTCACCTGCTTTTCTTCTGAAGATTCCCTGGCTCATGTTGGCGCCGAGAATCGAACGATTACGTTTGGTTTTCTCCAAGCGGTTTCCGCGGTGACACGTATCGCCCGTTGCTTTTCTGAGGCTTCCTTGGATCCTGGCGGCGCCCAGAATCAAAAATGCACCGCTGGCTTTCCTGCAGCGGTTTCCTCGGTGACACGTGTCACGAGTTGCCTTTCTGAGGCTTCCTTGGTTCATGTTGGCGCCCAGTCAAAAATGCACAGTTGGTTTTCTCCATGGGGCTTCCGCCGTGGCACGTGCCATCCAGACGGTCACATCCAGTTCGTCATTTGATGTCGTGTTTGCCTGTCATACCTTTTCTCCCGTGACACTTTTCCACGCTGGTCGGCGGCGTGCGGTTAACAACTTTTCAATAAGTAACCTTTGTCGATTTTCTTGTTCCCTGCTCCTCCCCTTCCGCCAACGAGCAGCTCACCAGAAGAGATCTTATAACAAATTGTGTGCGCATGCTTTCCACGCCACGCTACCCCAGCCCATGTCGTACTCAACGGGGTCCTGCCCTCCATTTTCGCTGGAGGCACTAGGTTCTATTACATCCAATTTTATTTAGACACTACGCTGGCTTCGTTTTGCACGAACGTGCCTTACCGCGCCCTTTCCAACCCCTACTCCTACACATGCTGTGATCAAGGTCAACCGCATCTCTGCAACTATCCTGCGCCGTACGATTCGTAGCATTAGCGTGGTCCGCAAACCTACCCCGCAGCTCATCCCACTTCACCCTGGCATATTCAAACGCCAGCCAGACGCTATCCACATGTAACGGTGGCGCAAAGGGCGGCAAGACCGAGTTCGACGCGGGCGTCTCCTCAGGGTTCGACGCGTAGATTTCGTAACACACGCGGCCGCCATGGCGGCGTCCACGACGCAAATGTCACCGCGGTAGCACAGCGCAACTCAACGCCCAATCCGCATGCGCAGACCACGTGCACATGTCCTGCCCAATCTATCCAATGCCCGCTCCCCCCATCAGGCTTTGCTCTACACGGGCTCCTGCAACTAATCACAACTCTTGTGTACCAGTGCAATCTACCTCCTTACCGTGTCCAATGCACAGCCAGCGCTGCTCTTCTTCGTTTGCCGCGACTGTTAAGGCGTCGTTGCTATTTTGATGTGGATCGCCATATGCTTTAATGTATTCATCCTACGCGAACTTTACGGCGCGCCTGCGTCGCGCAATTTTGGCCCCCCCGCCGCTCCCCCTCCCGCCCCTACCGCCACCCCTCATCCCACCCGACCCCACTCCATCGCGACCCCGCTCTGTTCGCGCCCTTCCCCCCCCCCCACCCCCCCCCGCGTCCGCGCGCAGCGCCCGTGCACAGCAGCGCCCGCGCGTGGCATCCGTGCGCGAATGTCCATGCGCCACGTCGGTGTGCCACGCGCACGCGCGACGCCTACGCACAAGTCCCGTGCGCCGCATCCGCGCCACAACGCTGCGCCCTTCCCATGGTTCATGGCCACTTATGGAATTGCACCCGAGGCCCCAGTAGAAACGCTTACATGCGTCCGCGCCGCGCATCATGCCGCACCCTCGCACGGACCGCGGCCCCATAGGGGGCTCCATCTGGGCCCCCTGTGGCGACGTGGACATGCGTCCGCGCCACCGATTACGGCGCGCCCCATCACGCGGTTCGCGGCCCCACATGGCGCTCCACTTAAAGCACCCGTGGCGACGGTCGCACGCTCCTGGGCCACCCATCGCGGCGCGCCCTCGCGCGGTTCGTGGCCCCAGAAGGATCTCAACGAAAGGCTGCCCAACCATTGCGACGCTCTCCATCACGCGGCCCGTCGCCTCAGAAAGAGTTCCACCCAAGGCCCCAGTGGCGAAGTTCGCACGCGCGCGCGCAACCCATTGCGGCGCACCCCTCGCACGGTCCGTGGCTGCATCGGAGTTCTCACTTGAGGCGGCGTCGCACAAGCGTCCGTGCCGCCCATTGCGGCACGCCCCATCACGCGACCCGTGGCCACATGAGGAGCTCCACCTAAAGTCCAAATGGCGACCTTTGCCCGCGCCATTCGCGGGCCCATATGGAGCTCCAAGCGACGTGTACTGCGTTTGGCCGCCTATGACGGCACGCGCACGTGCGGTTGCGCCGCCCATGGCGCTTGCGCCGCCCATGGCCCGCCCGCCCACCCAGAGACCCCCGCCCAGCTCCACCCCCGCCACCACCAACCCACCACGACCACCGCCACCCCCACGCACGCCCCCCCCCCACCACACACACCACCACCGCCACCACCAACCGTCAACCACCACCACACAAACACGACACACACACACACGACCGGCACCACAGACACACACACACACACCACGCACCACACACATCACGGCGCATCTATCGCACGGTTCGTGGCCCCATAGGGAGCCCCACCGAACGCCCCAGTGACACGCGCATTTGCGTGTCCACAATCGCGGTCCTCGCCATTGCACACGATTGAGCTCATGCCCAAGATACAGTCGGAGTCCATTAGTAGGTCGGGCCTGCCAAATCAAGGGTACTCTCGTGTCCTGTGCATCGCGCTTCGTGTCCTCTGCATTCCCCGGGCAAGGGTGCCCTTGTGTCCTGTGCTTTCCGCGGGTGTCGGCGGCTTGGCCCGCGGCGTTCTGGGCGCGTCGCGCCTCGGGGAGGTCGCGGCCCTGGTCAAGGGTACCCTTGTGTCCTCTCAGATTTGGGGGTTCGGTTCGCTTCGATGTAAGATTGCGGTTTCAGCGCCGCGCCGCCGGCGCCGCGGCGAAGGGTATATTCTGCGATGTCCTCTGAGTGCGGCCGCGCCGCCAGTGAACCAACGACGCGTTCACTCGAGGTCGCCCCCGCGCAGCAGGGTACTCCTGTGTCCTGTACTTGCCCAGCCCTGCAAGTTCATTCATCGTCGCGTTCGGGCAGGTCGCGGGGCGCGCAAAGGATACCCTGCCGCCCTGTGCATTGGCTTCTCTTCGGCGGGCCCCTGGGAACAGCAGTGGAGGCGCGCTTTTGGCGGAGTCACGCGGGCGCTCAGCCTAAGTCTCATAGAGCGTTCTGTATTGTTCCGAATAGAGAAGGCGCCGTGTTGGCTTGCAAGCTAGAGCGCGCGCGCGCTGGCGCGCGCGTGAGGAGTTCTGTATGGTCCACAACAGAAAAGCTGCCATGTATTTTCAAAAACTGAATTTGAAATTTCTGTGGCCCTTTAAGGAGGCCGACGGACGCACCGACTTTCCATTGTGGACAATACAGAAGTCCCCACGCGCGCGCGCGCGTGAGGAGTTCTGCATTGTCCACAATACAAAGGCCGCCATGTAAGTCCAAAAGCTGAATTTGAAATTTCTGTGGCCCCTTTAAGGAGGCCGACGAAAGTGTCGACTTTTCTATTGTGGACAATACAGAAGTCCCCACGCGCGCGCGTGCGCGCGTGAGGAGTTCTGTATTGTCCACAATAGAAAAGCCACTTTGTAACTCGAAAAACTGAATTTGAAATTTCTGTGGCCCTTTAAGCAGGCCGACGGAGATCTAGAATTTTCTATTGTGGACAAT